CTATTGCTACCAAGCACGCTGAGACCACTCTCAAATACCACATTCGTCCTGACAACTCAACCTACCATTTGATTGTATATGATCCTGTGACGGGTAAGCGAAAGGTTGGTTTGACTCACCAAGGATATGACCATGGAAGCACTTGGAGTCGCGGACAAGCCTGGGCCATCTACGGTTTCGCAACAGTTTACAAGTATACAAAGGACCCCAAGTTTTTGGATGCTGCAAAGCGATTGGCCGAATACTTTATGTCAAGAGTCGAAAACGGAGTCGTATATTGGGATTTCGATGCGCCTCGACCATGTGTATGGGATACCTCAGCTGCCACGATTGCCTGCTCGGGAATGCTTCTATTGTGCCAACTGCAAGGAAACCTTGAGTACCTTCCTCAAGTCACTTTGTTAATGAAGACTTGCATTGATGGGGCATTGACCAATGAAGATGGTGTTACCATTTTGGACCATGCTACAGTTAACAACTACGAGCATGCCAATCAGCGAATTGCTGACCATGGTTTGGTTTATGCCGACTACTACTTTTTGGAAGTGGGAAACCGTCTGATTGACTTGGGATTAGCGTAAGGCGATCTTTGGAGAATAGCAGGAGCTTACCGTCAAACGAATTGTAGACAATCCAGTCCACTTTTTTTCGTTCCATACTTTCAGTAGAAATTGAATATTATTTGATAAACGAAAGGACGCATAATACAATTATTGCATTTTGGTCGGGTTTACTGACCTTCTTGATGAGATGTAACCTTAGCCCGAGAATGTATCATGGTAATGAAAACCATCAGCTACTAGATCATTTGGATGCTGTTGTTCCTTGCAAGCTGAAATGTGTTAAAGCGCATCAGTCAAACATTCTTTCGTACTCCCGATGAATGCAATATCACTCTGCGTCATGGCAATAGTAACTCAATAACAGATGCTATCCCACGTGTTATCATGTACTCCATCATAGGATATCTCCCTGAAATTTGCTATATCGATAATTTTAAATAACAGCGATAGGACAAGATCATTAAGTACGACGGAGTGCAACCGTCCAGTCGCGCAATATGTATCGTCCATTATGCAATGTCGGGGAACGATAGCGAGATGATCCAGACTCGGGGTGAAACGAAAAACCTTTTTTTACAACAAATCACACTGTTGAATACGGTAGTGTGCTATTCATGATGCCATTGACATAAACTGGACCTGAAATTTTGAAACAAATTCTAACGCAGAACCGCTCAACATATTGTTCAGGTCTATATTCGCTAGCGTCGGTCACAAATTTGCAGTAATGCATTTGGATGTGAAATTATTTTTTTCGTGTTCCTTTTGCCGTATGTGAGTCAGATTCACTGAGCCGTTATTTGGTTCTCATAGACATACCGCTTACTTAAAATGAGTAATCTTTAAAATTGGAGGTCCGGAACGATAAATACCCAATATCTCCCTACCGAATAATCAAAGTCATTTTGACAAGATTGCAATATTTATCCAATCATGAAGGTTCAGGCTACGCCAGTAGGGTCTCCAGAAGAGTTTAATGTGGTCATTCAACCAATGATCCTGGAAGGCGACAATCTTCGCCTCGTTCCGATTTACACCAAACAAGATTTTGAAAAGTTGTACGAGACATATTCCAAATGTCCAGAAGTCTTTCGGTGGTATCCCGATGGACCAGCATCCACGCTCGAGGAATTTGTCGACCTATACGAATTGTTTCAAAAAGACAAGAATCGCCATACTTTCGTAGCCTATGACAAAAATTCTAGCCCGGAACGTGTAATTGGATCCGTGCAGTACCTAGACTTGTACCCTTCCCACAAGAGAAATGAGATTGGTAGTATCTGGATTATGCCTGAAATGCGTGGAACCTATGCTCTAATTGAGATGAACTACCTTCTGTTATTTCATGCTTTTGATATTCTCAAGTTCCATCGCACGCAGTGGAAGACCCATCACGAGAACATTGTCAGTCAAAAAGCCGCTACCAAGCTTGGTTTCACGTATGAAGCTACCTTCAAGCACCACATCATCATGTACGATGGAACCACTAGGAACTCGATGTTCTACAGTGTTGTGCTTGAAGATTGGCCATCGGTAAAGGAAAATCTTGACGCAAGGCTTCTCGCGTTTAGGAAACAGTAGACATCCGTCAGTGCTTAAAGTGATAGACGCTACTCGCACCAATCGTTATATAGAAAAGAGAAGTAACAAGTTTTAGAAATTTTACTGCGCGGCGATTCTTTGAGAAGGCCTTTACGTAGTTCAACCTCAATTTCATAACCCCCTATAAAAAAACCTTAACATTGTCATAATTATGAAATACACATAATAACGGAAGTCGCAGTATGTTGACCGTTTCCATTTAGTTTCAATAAAAATGTCCCCTGATAGCACCTTTAAATGCGTTTCAAGAAGTGATAAGGATGTGAGAGGACATGTAACGGAAATCTAGACTGACTGAGTACTGCTAAAATGAAACAAACAAACACAAGATCATATGGCATACTAGAATGTCTTTATTAAATTACCTATGTTTATTTTTTACGTATACTAGAGTTTCGTCGAATGACGAAGTGAAAAGCACTAATAGGTTATGGAGTTATTATACACATGTCAGCAAAGAAGACTGCATAAACCTGAAAATATTCCCACTCTGGGAATATCTAGCTTCCTTGGCTTGGCGTCTAGGCTAATGATAGTTGAACGATATCGGCGTTCCCACCGTTGGCACCTATTATCAGCGAAGCCGTGATCAAATCACAGTCTTCCATGCGATTGTCCGCTATTCAATGAAGTCAGATTGCCTTATTCGCCAGGAGCTTGGCGGACTTACGGGTGTCCCCCCAAAAATCCTGGAGTACAAAGTCGCACAGCGAGATAATACACTTTTTCCCATATATGGCAATGTTTTTTGGGTGAGCAGACGGCATGAAACTGCCCTTCGCCTTTTCCAATGTTCGTGTGAGCAGACACCATCCAACTTCAGCCATATAGCTCCGCTTTGTGGGTATTGCAATTCATTTTGTGGTAACTATTTGAGTAACTGCTATTTTAGTTGTGACACCATGTCGAGTAGAAATGCGGTGTTTGGCAAGGCAGTAAGACAAAAAATGGTGTGGGGGCGGGATTTCATTGTACGGCCAAGTCATTCGACATATTTGACAGGGTCGACTATGAGAAGAAGTTACAAACAAATATGAAGTTCACTGTACGGCCAAGTTATTGGACTATTGGATGAGATTGATCTTGAAAATACAAAATGAAAGTTGAGAACAGGAAATGTCTTCATTGGTAATCATAAGTAGATTTATTAGGTTGTATTCCAAAATACATATCGGGTATTGGTCATAGTGAGCAAAAAAATAAAATAATGATTCCAACATTAAAATGTTGCTACAGAGAAATTACAAAAGATATTTGCTGGTTCGACCACCCTTGGTTGCGCCATGTCTATCAATCTGCTTGTTCAAGCGTTGTAGGTCGAGACGAAGAATCAACGCTACAAAAGCACCAAGACCAGCTAAACCAATATTGACACTGTTGCTTCCAATGTATTTGGGTGCATCAGAGGGCCATCCAGCGTAGAGAAAGAAAGTGGAAAAGATAGTTCCAAGTTGGGCAAGTGCAGAGATGAGAGCCAAGCTTATAGCAAGTGGCAGTTCCTTGTCCTTGGAATTTGTCGCCCATGACATGGATAATGGGACACCTGGACCCATTCCAAAGGCTGTTATTAAAAGACCAACATATCTAGCAGCGTTTGAGTGTGTAAAGGAGAGGATGGCGAATCCAACAGCAGTAAGGAGAATGGAGACAATGTAAGGAAGCGAACGAGTCTTGTAGTGATCAGAAACTTTGGTGAAAAATAGACAACCAACAGCGATCATTACTCCAACAGGAATATTCATGAGAGATACATTGATGGAGGTATAACCCATTTGTATGATCATAGTTTGGGAATAGTACTGTATGGAGGTAGAAATGAGAACCGTGCACATGTAGATAATGGTGAACAGGTAAACTAATAGAGGTGGTTAGGAATGTATGTCTAGTAAATCGGATTGAAGCTATGCATGTATTATCATTTACCTTTGTAATCCAGCAATTCATTCACAACAGCACGAACAGTAATTCGAGGTCTTTCTTCAATATCCGGACGGTCTACTTGAATGCGATGTCTGGCGACTTCTTTTTCCTCTTCTGTCAACCACTGTTTCTTTTCGAAAGGAGTGGATGGTAACCAGAAATTGAAAAACACGCCGATAATGACGGTCAAGAGACCAAAGACCAAAAACAGCCATTGCCAGCCATACAAGTTACCGCGTCCATCGATGAGTTGGAAAGCAGCGGAGAAGAAACCGGAGACAATGAGGGCTACAGCGGCAGAAAAGAAGTAAAGTCCCATGCGAATACCAGTTTCGCTTTTCTTGTAAAACTTTGAGACGATCATCGCCATACCGGGCCAGAGTCCAGCTTCCATGACCCCGAGGAAAAAGCGAAGAACATAGTATGATGCTTCATTTCGAATCACCACCATGAGAGTAGTAACGATACCCCAGGAGATCATGATGCGAGCGAGCCATCCTGCAGCTCTCACTTTCGTAATGATCAGATTGGAAGGAAGTTCGAACAAGACAAGGCCAACATAGAAGAGAGCAACACCAAGAGAGACTTGTGTTCCAGTCAAGTGCGCGACAGTTTGAAGGTCGTGACCTTTAGCCTTGTTCATGATGATAGCTGTTCCAACGTTGGAACGATCGATAGATGTAAAAAAGTACATTGTCCAGAAGCATGGTATCAAGCGAAGATCAAATTTTCGAACGAGCTTACGCTCAATCTCCTTGTATCTAGCATCTTCAGGATCAAGGCTATAGTCTCCTACAGAAACGGCGTCATGGCTAGGCACTCTCTTAATGTTTTCAAGCTGATGCTCTTCTTTGCTGTCCATAAGAGATAATAAAGTCTGGATGTCAAAAAAAAAAAACTGCGGGGTATTTAAATAGCTATCGTTTAAAAAGCGGGTGACTTTGCGGCATCTTTACATTCCCAAAATCATACTGGAGGCTTCGTCGGAACCGAATGTGGTGGTGTCTAAAAATGCGGAGGCTTTGTGGGGGGGGGGTAGGATGAAAGCTTAATATTAGTGCTCCGTTTTTTGACTTGAGAAAATATTAGATTTGCGCGATTCCAAATTATAGTGATTATATAACAGAGGTAACCTAGGGCTCAAATGTGTAAATCACCTTGCTCTTACTAGCAACACAATATGAACAACTTTAACATACCTACAAAGGAGCCAACCAAGTTCACAAGAGATGCCAACCGGGCATTGAAGTCGACTCTCCCATTCCATGATGTTGCTGACTTTGAGAACGCTCAGCGTGGGTTCATTGGTACCATTCCTAAAGGCTTCATTGCTCGTTTCCAGGATACCAGTAAGGCCAACGTTCCTGTACCCCCTGTCTGGGACTTGGAAAGGTACAAGTTTATCACCTCGGACGACTCTCCAGATAGCGTAAACCCAAGTCTCTGGCGCCAGTCACAGCTCAACATGAATAATGGCCTTTTCCAAGTCACTGACAAAGTATACCAAATCCGTGGTCTTGATCTTTCCAACATGACCATTATCCAGGCTGATAATGGAATCATTATCATTGATCCTCTCACTTGCGTTGAAACTGCAAAGGCTGGTCTGGAATTATACTATCAACATTTCCCCCGTGTTCCCGTCCTTTGCGTGATGATCACTCATAGCCATGTTGACCATTTTGGTGGTATTCGTGGTGTTCTCTCGGAAGAAGATGTCCTCTCCGGCAAGGCCTCCATTATTGCTCCTGAAGGGTTCCTTGAGCATGCTGTCAGCGAAAATGTTTTTGCTGGTAATGCCATGCGCCGTAGAGCTCAATTTATGTATGGTGCATTTTTGCCCAGAGCCGAACGTGGACAAGTTGATGCTGGTCTTGGAAAATCTGTTCCCTTGGGCTTTATGAGCTTACTCCAACCCACCGATTTCGTGAGCAAGACAGGCGAAACCCGTCTCATTGGCGGTGTTGAATTCGAGTTCCAAATGGCCAACTCCACTGAGGCGCCTTGCGAAATGATTATCTACCTTCCTCAATTGAATGCTCTCTGCGCTGCTGAGGTCATGACCCACAATATGCACAATTTGTATACCCTACGTGGTGCTGAAATCCGTGATGCCGTTCAGTGGTGGAAGACCATCAACCTGACCATTGACATCTTCCATGGCAGAGCCAAGGTTATCTTCGCACAACATCACTGGCCCATCTGGGGAGAAGCTGAAATCCACAAGTTTTTGTCCAAGCAACGTGATCTTTACAAGTATATGCATGATCAAACCCTCCGTTTGATCAATCTTGGTTACACTATGCTTGATATTGCTGAAGAAGTCCAACTTCCCCCTGACCTTGCCAACGAATGGTACAACCGTGGTTACTATGGTTCAGTTAGTCACAATGTTCGTGGTATTTACCAAAAATACCTTGGTTATTACTCCTCCAACCCTGCTGAACTCAATCCTCTCCCTCCTGTCGATGCTGCCAAGAAATATGTCGAATTCATGGGTGGCTCTGAAAATGTCCTGAAGATGGCCCGCCAATCCTTCGATAAGGGTGAATACCGTTGGGTCGCTCAGGTCGTCAACCATGTCGTATTTGCTGAGCCCAAGAACCCCGAGGCTTTGGCATTGCAAGCTGATGCTCTTGAACAACTTGGCTACCAGTCCGAATGTACTTCTTGGCGTAACGAATACCTCGTAGGCGCACAAGAACTCCGAGTCGGTGTCTTCAAGATTTCTCCTAGCACCGATTTCGATATGCTTCGAGCCATGACTCTGGAAATGTGCTTTGACTACCTCGGCGTTCGCTTGAATGGACCTAAAGCTCAAGGAAAGCAAATTACCATCAACATCACCTTGCGTGAATCCCGTTCTTCAGAACCTACTCAATATATTGTCCGCTTGGAAAACTGTGTTATCACTTACAGCGCTGGTCGCATCGATGAAAATGCCAAGACCCATGTTATCATGACTCGACCTGTCTTCTTGGGTATGTGCTATACCAAATCCACCGCCAAGGAATTGCTTGCCTCTAAACAGGTCGAGATCGCTGGAGATGCCAGCCAACTGGATTTGCTGCTTTCCCTCTTGGATGAGTTCGATCTTTCCTTCCCTGTAGTCACTCCTGTTCGCAGTGGTAACAGTGTTAAGCCAGCATTGTAGATATTTACCTATTCTGACATTTAATTCTTACAAAGATCGGCTACATAGTACCTAGATAGTATGAAGATCATCCATTGATAGAACCCAGGTTTTAAATAAAATGAAACGATATACTTTATAGAAACAAGTGTTCAAAAAAAAATGAGGCGGGGAGCCAAATAAACGATATGGGACAACTACATGGCGCGCAATTCTCTTTTTTGTTCTCTCATGTAAAGAAGAGAGAAAAATAAAAAAGAGGATTGCACGGAAGCTTGCGTAGGCGGAGACACGTACAAAGGGAGGATTGCAGCCAAAGCGTGCAGAGGGATGAGCTGTACTAGTACGTATGCTGGTAGTTTTGTTGAGGTTGGTGATATTCACCGTACACTGGCTGATCAGGAGTCCTATGGTATTGATCCAATGTGGATTTGAAAGGGTCACTGTTATCGTACATGCCGTAAGTACTATCTCTGGGTTGAGTCATGGGTCCGAAATCTTCTTCCCATGCATGTTGTCTCTGTTGACGACGGGACCTCATCTTTCTATAAGCGAAGCCAACGGCGCCAAGTAAAACGACACCAACAACGACACCGATGGCAATAGGAACGGTGTGATTGGATGAAGAAGATGAATTGTCGCTAGCAGCGGTGGGGGTAGGAGTTGCAGACGAGATGGAGGACGATGCGAGGGAAGACGATGGTAAAAGAGAAGTGGTCGTCAAAAGGGATGTGGTAGGGAAGGAGCTCGTGGCAGGAACGGATGACGACGTGAGAGCAACGGAGCTTACTGACACGACGGAAGGTGTGGTGACTGGAGCAACCGTGGTGGTGGTCGTCGCAGGCGCTGCTGTAGTAGTGGGTTGTTCTGTGGTGGTGGTGGTGGTTGCTTCAGTGGTGGTGGTGGTAGTGGTCTGCTGAGCTGGAGTGGTCGTTTTCTCAGATGATGAAGCTGACGATTCAGTGGTGGTTTGAGCAGCCAGTGAGTTGCCAATGAGGTTTTGCACGCCAGCAGCGTCAATGGGAAGCAAGAGCATGGCGCTTGCAATGGTTGACAAAGTGAAAATGGAGGAAATGAGCGACATGGGGTAGTTAAAATAGGTGAAATGAGGGTAAAGGGGAGGAAAGGGATAAAGACACGGTGGATTTTCCGCACTACTACAGGTATGAAAAGAAGTGCCTTGAAATTCCTCAATTTACGTCCAGCTTTATATCTTATTTTTTCCAAGGCGGTTAAACTTTTGGACTCCCTGTCCTACTTTTCCATGAGCGTGTACACCTCCTTACAATGTATTGCTACAACCTCCTATTCACGACAAAAGTGACATCCTGGCATAAAAATAATGTGGTTTTCATAACTTTCCCTTCACTAGCCAACTATGGAGATCTTTGAGGTCCCAGATTTCTTCAATTAATGGAGTTTTTATTGCGAAAAAATATTTTAGCGACAGAGAGTACAAAAAACAATGGCTTGATCGAGGCTTTTTTTCTTTCTTCGAATCCCATCCCTCCGTTACACGTGACTATATTCTAATGCAATGATGATATCTTGGCCAAAGGGAACGATGGGATGAACGTTCGCCTTCTTCCAAGTCGTAGCTGGAATACCAATATCAGCTACAAATAGCTCACCGGTGATATTCCTAGACGCGCATCCAGATGCAGGCGCACCGTAGCACAACGTCCATTTAGGTTTTATGCGATGGTTAACATGATAAGGTGTTCCTATAGATCGATCTGCGATGAATAAAAAGGCAGGTTATTTCCCCTATACGAAACGGACACATACCTTCAATGGGATCTACTCCACTTGGAAAATCTATACTCAACACTGGAGCTTTGTTGCTATTTGCCCAATCCATGGCGGCTATAACAATTTGAAAGCTTTCGTAGTCTGATTTGAGATCGGCAAATGTGGTCTGGCTGCCCAACAAGGCATCAATGATAATATCCACAGGCGTGGTCAGTTGTTGTGGAAGGTCTATGGAAGGAAATATTTAGCTCATGTACTACTCTTCACGTGGCTCGGTAAAAGTTTCAGTACTACCTTCGACACGTTTGACGATACGACCACCAGCAAGCTGGATGATATATTCTTGACTGGCAATACGTTGAGCTATGGAGGCATTGTTGCTGGCTGCTATGCAGACAACGACTTGGCATCCCCTATTGAGAAGGTGACGAGCTGCGGCAAGACCATATGCACCTGTATAATTATTATTTCCCGCCAAAACCACCACAAGAGGTGCGGCGTTGTGATTATTTGGTTGTATTCGTCGCTGTCCGCCTTATGAGTCCGAGTCCATATAGAATTAGTACTCGCATACATGTATCTGAAATTTGTAGATAGATACTGTGACTTACCAATTGCTTTGAGTGCCATCATAGCCGCGCTGACACCGGCACTTTCCATAATCATAATATTATTGGGACCACTTTCGGAATCTGGCAAGCACAATGAGTTTAGCTTAAATGCTACTATCCCATAAAGGTAAACGTCACTTACCACACATAGCATGTACAGTTTTCATTAGAGAAGGTTGTACCAATGGGCACTCCTGCCCTTCCGATACAGTGCGAATTGTGGTGGTGGGAGCTTGCGGAGGAGCCTTTTCTGCTGGCTGCATCACAGGTACTTCAGCTACTGGCGGCGTTGTAGGCATAGTGGCTTTCGTTTGCGCTCCTCTTTTTTTCTCCGGAGACTGAGGTATGGATGCATCAGCGCTTTCCTTTCGTCTAGCTTTTGGAGGTATAAGGCCAGCTGGAATAGTAAAGGATGGGAGCTTTTTCAAACTATTCTCTGGGACATTAGTCTTTGGAACTGATGATGCAGGAGTTGGCCGACCGTTGGCAATGTTGAGATTAGCTAGTAAAAGGTTTGTCGCACTTTGATCGACCTTGGGATTTGCTGGTCTCTTCGATGCAGTATTACCGTTGATAGCAGGCTGATTGTCTGGTATAGTATCTGCTGTGATACTCCCATGCTGTTGTTGCTGTTGTTGCTGCTGCTGCTGTTGAAGCTGTTTTTGCAATTGCTGATGGTGGTTATGATGATGGTCAACAATCTGCGGCGTTGGGCTGTTCATAGTAATTGGGGAACCCAGAGTCTGGCTGTTAGGAGATGCATCGCCTTGCTTGGTGATCTTTTTCCCCTTGACACTAGGAGATCTGTTCGAAGCTGGCGATCTGCTGTCAGTCCATAAATCACCATACTCTATCTCTACCGTTTCCACAAAATCTCGAGCTCTATGAGGTCTCACAGCCGCAAATGAAGGTATTTTGGCGGTCGGCTTGGATACCGGTGTTGGAGGCTTGTTCTCTACAACATTGGGTATATCATTATCGGACACGATATTGGGCGACATAGGACTGGAAAGGGATCTCGGTGTAGAGGACATATCACTTGAAGGTCTGGAAATCACGTTAATAATTTAGGTCAAAGAATGATGCCAGGACCTTTAAACTTCTAACACGTACCTGATTGGACTACCAAGCTATAAATGATGTGAAGCAACTGTTAGGTGCTTGAACTAAGCATTCTCCTCAACACATTGATTTTTTTCATACCAGTATATCTAAAGGTGTTGCTGTCCGTCCAGATTCTGGTACCATTGGCGAGGCGATGCTAGGCGTCTGTTCGACATTGTCAACTGTGCTTGGGCTGGAAGGCTGACTGCCTTGTTGGTCAACGCTGATCTCCTGTATTCGGTTTCCTGGTATAGCAAATGATACAAGTTCGCGAGGAATGTCGTTGGGTGTTTTGAATATGCGCACTGATATGTGAAATGTTAATCACAGGCAAGTTCGATCGTGATTCTCCATAGCTTTCCTTACCATCGCTAAGTTTCATCGAGCCGACAGCATCCAGGACTTCAACTATAGTTCCTTTCACAAATCTTCCATCGGATAGTGTTATATTAGCAGCTTTCCCAACGTAGTCTTCGTACATGGTTGCTGTTTGCGGACTGGAATAGAGGCGGTCTGGCTGTATGCTGAGTACTTTTTGCTGGATCGTACGGGTGTTCAAACCAGTGATTCTAAACATCGGGCACGTGACCCAAGGCTAGAAACCCAGAGTAAAATACATGACCGAACATTCGGACGATACCGTTACTCGCCTCTTCTTTACCAATTCCCCCCTATGGCGAAAGACTTTGGAGGCTTATATAACCCTTCCACCGATTCATACTGGCTTAATAGTGCACCATGGCAAGAACCATCTAAATCAGCCCTACCTGCCTCAAGCGACGTAGTCATCATTGGTGGTACGCAGAGACTGTGCAAAATACAAAATGAAATATTGATCATCTATAAAAGCTGACAATGAATTTTTTAAAAAAGCGGGTATGTCTGGTCTATCTACAGCTTATTGGCTTAAGAAGTACGATCCGAACTTAAATGTCGTTGTGATTGATGCTCGGGGTATCTCTTCAGGAGCCACAGGACGAAATGGTATGGTTTTAAGCAGATGAAAAAAAAAAAGTCAATTGTTCGACTTGAAAGTTCACACGGCTAACTTTGACCTAATTTGTAACCTGCCCAGGTGGTATATGCCTTCCGGGTCTTAATGATTCTTATCAGGATACCATCGATGACTTTGGCTATGAATCTGCCAAAAAACTTTTGGAATTTGATTATTTAACAGTGGACACAATGAAGCAATTCGTTGCGGAACATTGTGACACTGACAAGGGTCTATTTGATCCCGAGATGACTTTTCTTGAAGAGGGTGGTTTGATCTTATGGTCGACTACAGAGCAGAGAGACAGTGGAATCCAGGACGCCAAAGCATTGATTGCCTCGGGTCTTGGAGATGATGTGAGAGAACTAAGCAAGGACGACGTGAAACGAATCACTGGAAGCGACGCCTTCTACGGTGGTCTACAAGTGAAGACGGCAGCGGTATTATGGGCCGCCAAGTTTGTTTTTTCGCTAGCTAGATCGGTGCAAGACTGGTGCAAGCTATTCACGTTCTGTCCAGCTGAAGAAATCACAAAGACAGGTGATATGTTCACCATTCAAACCAAGCTGGGGAAAATAAGGGCCAAAAAGGTTGTCTACGCCACGAACGCTTGGACAAAGACGATTTTACCCCAGTTTTCTGGACGAGTCACAGCTGTTCGCAATCAAGTCATCCAGCTTCGCGCCCCTGAAAATGTTAAATGGAACTATTGTATGAGCTCCAACGATGGGTAAGTTTACTACTGTCAGTGATTTGGAATCCATACTTTGTTCTGATCTATCGACGATACTTGTAGTTACGAATACATGTCTCAGCGTCCAAACGGAGATATCGTTTTAGGTGGCATGCGCAACATAGTGGATGGTGCAGAATTAAATCAACCAGATGACTCGACTCTTAACGACACGATTGGCAAAGCTCTCAGAGAATTTCTTCCAAAGCACTTTCCAGGTTTCAAGGACACTGAATTAAAAGTTGAAAAAGAATGGTCTGGAATAATGGGATTCAACCTGTATGACCGTCTTCCCTTCATTGGCCCCTTAGGGGATGTCCCAGGCCGACACCATGGCGAATATGCCTGCTTTGCTTTTACCGGCCATGGTATGCCTAGAACGTTTATGGCTGGTAATGCGATTGCTACTATGATTACTGGACAAACTTTACCCTCTTGGTTCCCGATGGAATGCTTGCCAAACCATGAACGCCGCAAAGGACTGTGGACGAAGAATCGATTGTAATAATAAATGCACACTTCCGTTTGTTATGACTGCCATTTTTAGTGTTGTTAAAGTGCTGTGTCAAAATTAGGCTTGAAGGGTGGCGTATACGGCGAGTTTCTTTTATTCTATTTGCACACATCATGACAGAAAAAGTTCTGTCAAAAGGTGTAAATATGATTATTACGGTATATATGAAGTGATCGAAGAGTGTCAGTTGGAAGGGATTGGAGGAAGCGACAGAGGTGGAGGCTAAAATGTGCACAGAAAGAAAAGCGTGGGTGGATATCGAACAAATAGGAAACGAGAAAGCTAAAAGGGGCCCAAAAATAGCCACAGGTGTGTGGAAGCCCCTGAACCCCAAAAAAAGATGGAAGAATAACAAGAAAAGAAACTAAGTGTGGAAGGAAGAATGAAACAAGATATAACGTATTTAGATGAGGGTTGTAAAGGGTTGTTGGGTGTGTGTAGCTGTAATATCCAATAGATAACATTGCTGAGGCATCTTTTGCAATAGCCGATGAGCCGCAAACTCTTTTTACATTCCATAAAGACGCGTTGCAAAGATGACAAGAGCAGCACCCAGAACAAATGGTCCAGAGATGATGAAATTGAATAACCATACAGAGACCAGCATGGACAAAATGATACTGATAGATGTGGCGAATCCCTTCAAGATGTTATCAGCATACTTGACAACAAGAGCAACGATGAGTCCACCAATGGCTTGAATAGAAATGACAACCCACGTCAAAATGTTGTAGTGGGCAAAAAATCCGTCCGTTGCAACCTTACGACCATCCTGGATACCAACAACAAAGACCAAACCAAAAAGCAGAGAGAACAAAGACATTTGAATGTTGCGAACCCAGACTTGTGCACTTTGAGGAACACCGTCGTCTTCCATTCCACTGACTGGATCTTCTTCGTCTAGTTCGACGGATGATTTTCTAGAGTTGGTGTCTTCGCCAAGCTCCTTGTCTCCAACCGACTCAAATCGAGTGTACTTTGGCTGAGGTTTGACGACAGGTGACTTTAGGATCTTTTCGAAATAGACTCCAGCCAAACCAGACAAGAAGCAGGCTAGCAAGACAGCAACATAACCCTTCATGTTGGACTGATTGCCAACGCTATCGACTGCATCATCCATATCATCCGATCGATCATCGGATAAAGTTGTCTGCGAGAGGAAGGATCCAAAGGTTGAAAGAGTTGCATTTCTAGGCAGGACGACCAACGCGATACCAACAGTCAGCAGAGTAATGGCAATCCATTTCAATTTGTTGAGAGACCGTCGGAGAATAATAACACTGAAGAATGCAGTGGTAATAATTTTCAATTGATAGGTGACTTGGAAAGTTGCTGCGTCAAGGTTGGAGACAGCCAAGTATTGAAGATTGTTCTAAATCGTTTGAAAAACTGGATGATTAGAACAAAAAGATACGATATGTTGAATTAATCTTGGCGGGATTTTTTTTGTTACCTGGATCAAATACAATCCAGCAGGGATAGACAGCTTAAGGGTCTCCCGCCACTGCACTATCAGCTCTCGATTCAGATTTCTAACCAGTCTCTTGAAAGTACGCTTGCCTGGAGGAGGGGCAAAGAACAAAAGAGCGATACAAACAAGAGCTTTCATAACTTCGCTCATGACAACGGCTGTAGATGCCAAGTAAAGCTGATCCTCTGGGACGCTTGCTCTGGTATACCGCATGACTAAAATGAGAGCACTATTTTGTACCACAAGAATAATGAGGGAGAGGTACTTGAGAGGTATTCCCCATAATGATATAGTTTCAGACGCTGTAGAATAGTGAGGGTTAATAAATGCGAGCAAGATGATTGACACATGGTCAAAAAATGTTACCCATTTTTAGAGATGATTGAACGGTAACAAGAGGTTGCAAAACAGAGCTGAGCTGAAAAAGTATCAAAATACAGAATTTTGCTTTTTTCAGCTCAAAAATATCGGAGTGCAGTGCCCCGACGTATTGCGCCTCTTCAAAAGGTGGACTTGCCCGGTTGTACTTTTTCATTTAGCAGACATTGTTAAGTAAAACCTTCGTTTCAAGATACTTTTCAAAAAGATATTGGTTTATTACACGCTCCAAAGCTGGTATCTCTTAAAGTCAAAAACAACCATGTTTGGGCCACATATAAAAAGGGGGGACGACTATTAAATCATATATGGCTGAAATGGCTTAAACGTATCTTGCCGAAGCGAGCGCTGCCGCCGCAACGCCTATACCGACAGCTGCTACAATCGCTATCATCTGTCGCATCCTTTGCTCTTGTCTAGAATTCATAGGAGCGACAGCCAGGGGTCGTCTTTCAGACGGTTCCATTCTTAATATTTTGCGAGCTTGATCTCTTGCTTCAGCCACAGGCTTCTCGTCGCCCCACGTGTTCACGCTGGATGTTTCATCCAAACCAATATGTGCCTTCCTTTGGAGCTGGATGGGAGGGTAAGACTCTTCTAGCTGGGTTGCCTTTGCAATCAACGCTTCGACATCTAAGGGCTTCTGCGGCAGTTTGGAGAGAAAAGTGTGTATTGCTGAATTTTCGCATTCCTGTTGCAACAGCTCTTCCTTATGAGACAGCACAATTGCAGCTGCGAAGTAGACGGGCATGAGCGGATTAGAGCTTAAAAATAGATCAAATAACCTTGGAATGACTGAAAAGTCGTCGATATCGTGGCTGCACCAAGTGATGACCCAACTAAGGCAGTAATATGGTAACACATTCGCTCTGCAAAACAACAACATGTAAATACCGACGGTTTGCGATTCATACTCAACTGAAGAAACCTGTTTTCTTTTGAGATATGTTCCCGCAAATTTTACTTCTACTTACTCTTGTAAAAAACTTGATATTTGCTGGTCTTCATGTTGATAAAGCGTGTCAAGTAACGTTACTTGACGTAATATCGGATCCATAGAATCTAACATCGCATCTGTATTGACAGTTCAAGCAAAGTCAAGGATTATGTTGATACAATAAAAATGGACAAGGTATTTCGATAAGCAAGCCAAAAGGATATCTTAGGAAAAAGAGCGTCACTTGCTCCACGAGATCAACAGCAGCCTTCTTGCCAAAGATTAGCAAAAACACGGTGCATATATCGTGGAACCCCTAATAATAAACTTTGCTGTTTAGAAAAGCATGCAATTTCCGCTTAAGAATGCCGAAAGGATATACCTGGTAATAATGTAACGACTTGTTCCGTCGTAACACTTCAACAATCAGTTCATTGAGTTCATCCTGCTTTTCCTTTTTACTGGTTTCATCAAGACCTATCGTAAAGGTATATGTCAGCCACCCTTAGACCTGAACAGCTTGATTTCGTCAATTTTTTATACCTTGTGGATATGCGTTAAGCGATCTATCGACATCCAGTTGCACCTGCTTTTCATCTACGTGTTCTTCGTGTTCGTCATCTAATATATATGTGATACTCTGTTAGCTGTGCGCTGGGGTCACCATTTTACTGGATATACTCACCTTCAGTTTTCACTAAGTCGTCTGAAATATTACACTGTAATAGAACTGGCCTGTGCCCGCCCCCAACCTATATTTTAGAAAATAGCCCAACCAAGAGTTAATGAAAGTCGGCATTCGGGGTACGTACCAAACTCGCCTTCGCAGGCTGTTGTTTATAAAGCCGCCACCGTCTCTGCCTATGCTTCGAAGAGTTTCGACATCGTCACTCCGAATGGCTTCATTGATCCGCCAAATGCGTTTGTATACTTCGTTTTCATGAGCATAGCGTTCGCTGGATATAACACGGCGTCCTCGAAAAGCTTGTCGTTTTGTCATTATTAGCTTGACTTGCGCTTGCTATATTGTACAAGGTAAATACAAGGTGAATATATTATAAAAAATGGGAGAAGGTAGCAAGTCAGCAACTGGGTAATGACGACTATGCAACATAACTACCACAAAAATAAAATAATGACTAGAAAAACACAAGCTTTACAAACACATTGAGAAAACTCGACCATATGAAAATATGTTAATAGCAAAACTGGTTGCTGACACGGTGGTCAAAATACTCATTTACAGCGATTCCGACCGATACGCATATACACGCATCTCGCAACAAAGGTTTTTTAAAGATCGGTTTATATGTGAGAACGCTGTATAGAACAAAGCAATGTATAGTAGAGGAAAAAAGGTAGGTAGTCTAGGCACTCTTGGGATATTCGAGTGAAACACCCTTCTCCTTCAATGATTTTTCGGCTTCCTTAGTGGCCCAGGTGACGACACTAGAATTGAAATACAATCGAATTAGTTCAAGTTGGAGACTGATAGCAGGATGAAGGTGTATGACGTACCTTGTATCAGGCTTATAGTATAACAAAGCGGACATGAGGACGAAACCGCCGCCCATACCCCAGTAGTAGATGGTCTCCCATTCCTCCTTAACACGCTTTTGTCCAGGTGCCAAAGGCTACAATGAGAATAAAAATCAGTCAAGATGCACTAAGTAAAGATAGAGTGACTTTCGGCGAAGAGGGTTGTACAGATGATCAAGTATTTGACTGGCATTCGCTTGTCGTTAGAATTTATACCGCTGTTGCAATCTGTGAATCATTGCTATCGAATCCAGCAAGGTGTTGACGTATTCGACAGCGATGTAATAGGGTTGGCGAGTTTCGTATAGAAATGCCCGAGGTGTGAAGTCGATGTCGCGGACTGGTTGGACATTCAAGATTACTTCTAACAGTGACGGAGCCTTACCTTCTCGTTGAACAAGTAGCCGCCGGGTTCGTTGTATGATGCTGGTCCGTGTCCACCACGACGAATGGCGGCACGCTTGAAAGCGGATGAACGAGCAAATGCTCTAGCAAACATGGACATGACTGAATGGACAATAGGTGGGCTTACTTGCGTGTTTATAACGTCCAGTGGCCGCCCTTGTGTTAAGCCACTCGAGTCACATGACTAATTTTTGGGTTCATCCAAAACCTGATTCCGCCTGCCGCTGTGCCTGACACTTTGAAGAATTATCAGTAGCTCTGAGAGGGTTCAAGCGTCGGTTAAATAATATAAGTACTTGATTTAAACCATTTTTTGCTGCGAAATCTGACCGATGAATGCTGGAGAAAAGCCTTTGTGTGGAATAATATGTGAAAAACCATGAAAAGTTCACTTGCGCCATTTATTTTCCGGTCGTGTAGAATCCTGCACCTTCTTTTTTCTGTATGAGAAAAGGCGACAGTATGTATAAATTATTTTTGAACATAACCTTAGAACCTAATATGTTGTAATAAATTTATAGATAGCGAATACTATTGATTCCAGTATTTGAGCAGTACGAGCTCCATGTGAATTCATATAACTCATTGGGCGGTAGCTCACCCCCTGGACAAGGGAGGAAGGGACTAGCTGCTATCTCTATTCGTCGTTGGCCAAGATAGCACGTGATGTGCTTGACAACTGTTACGGACGTAAGCGACAATATTGCAAATGATTGAAATAAAGCCAGGTTCTGGAGAAAAGCTAGTAGATCTTGACGAAAGCCACATAAAATTGTCTCCTGCAGCTTGCGTTTTCCAGAAAATGGCATCATTTTACCCTCTAAACAATCGGTTTCCGCATTGGTGCGACAGCGCTTGCCATTTTTCATAGGCATCTCCGAGCATGCCTCGCCAATGTTTTTCAACTGTCAAATGCATAAAATACAATTGGAGGTAACGATAAATTCGGTATGGTTTGCATATCCCTTGGTTAGATTGCGATTTTTGGCAGCTACGACCTAATACAAAGTGGATTTTCATTTGGCTGCCGCACAGACCTGTTTTCTTGGGCATGTATTTCTTTGCTACTGCAGCCTTAAAATAAAAAAATATTTTTAATAAAAAATAAAATTTACTCTTCTATCAGCTTAGTGCGGTATCATCCTTTAGCTAAGGACAAGGTATCCTCCACACTTCACTCCATCCAACTCTCTATCTTAAAAAAACAATATAAAGTGATTACTGACGCTTATATTTATTTCAGATTTGTAGCACTAAAAATTTGAAAAGTCACTTTCAAATGAATACCCACAGAGCAGCTTAATATTATTTACCAACCACTATACCCAACAGATTTCACCAGCAAGTAACAAATTATACTAATATCGTACTTCAAGCGAATGTTATATTAAGCAAGTTCGACGCATAGGTGGAGCAAATTAATAACTGAGAAGCAGTGTTAAGCTACCATCTGGATTCATGTCGTAATCAACATCTATGGACTGTTCTTCTCTCATAGCCTCAACCACTTGATCGTCGACAGCAATGTTGATGTGGCCCTTTAGTCTGATGACCGCTGTAATGCTTGCTGGGTTGATATTTATCTTTTGGCATATCTTATCTACGAGGTCACCTACTGTGAACCGTTGCAAATAGATGGCTCGGTAATGAGTATCGTGTTGCGCATAGCGTATGAAAATGTTTAGAACTAGATAAAGTTGGAGTACACATGGTCAACGCATGATTCTCTAAACCCCCTGATCTACTCATCGGGACCACTTACCGGCAGTAGAACTTCGTGACCTGGGAACATATGTAGGGTCAATGTCCAATGCAGCTGGTGGATGAGTCGGAGTGTGTAGCGGCTGAGTTGCCATGTAAGAAAATCCAGGTGGAAGTGGAGGATCTGGTATGGGGCTAATCATGGAAACGGATGCTTCTCCACTTGGCGGTGGCGGTAGTGGCGGCATTCGTGGAGGAGGGTGAAAGCTTTCTCGCGTGATAGGCATAATGGCTTCTGGTATACCTGCAGTTGAGGTGTATAATAGAGAGAAAGGTGTCACAGTGCTTTCTGTAGTGTATAGTTTCCAAAGTGGATGCGACTCGATATCAACATGATCTTCGGCTGGCGGAAAATCGGGTTATTTTTTGGGGGCAAAGAAAAAAAAAGGAAAAAAGGGAAAAATAATGAAAAGAATATTGTATCAGTGTCATGATAACCATCATTCCGGCATAATACTAATAAACACATACCTTGTAGTTTTTCAATTTGTTTCTCAACATGTTTCCTTTCATCCTTCAGTTTTCTTTGAGCTCCCTATGACACAAGTTAGTTTAGTAAGTGTCAGTACAAAGCCTCATCACATTGATGAATGTGAGTCTAGTTGTTTATGCTGTTTATTTACCTTGTCGCGAAAAATTCTTACTCGACAGATACACTTTTCAACTTTGTTTCCGGGTTCATCGACGACTCGACTTTCCACATGGATACGCAGAGGGATACCTTTGACACCTTTGATCCGGGAAAAATCCGTGGAGAGACAATTGAAGCGAAGGAATACTCTTGCGCCATTTTTGCCTCTCCAGTTAAAAGATATGCGATCGAAGCTGCGAAGGGCAATACCGTAGGTTCCTTGACTATGTTCTTGATCTGTTTATAACAGATCGATCAGAGGCCAACAATTGAACTGGTCATGATCCTACCCTTTTTGACACCAACTTACCAATATCGATGGCTCTGGGACTGCTTGTAGTTGGTTGCTGACCCAGCCAAAATTTCCAAAAACTCGTCGCCACCCGTCGATGCTGCTGGTCGTGGAAAGCAAGAATCACTGTCGTTTCGATATCACCATCAAACTCTTGTCTGTCATTCAAGGTTATTATATAGTATTGGCCTAGAATTGTAAGTGGTTTAGTACTGCGCCTCTTTGAGCATGATATGACACCATAATGGTAAATTCGATTATGAACATACCTCGATTGATATAAGTCAAAGGAACGTCGTCATCTTGGAGAGCAATGGCCGTAGGAGCTAATATGCGGAAACCAGTCATTTCAGGTTAATTGTTGTATTTCTGAAAAGATCGAGGAATAGAGAACATGTCCAAGGTCGAAGCATTATGCATGAACTTGTTATTTACCTTCAAGCGACACGTCAAACCGGGGGTGGAAAGAAGAAAACGATCTGGAGTCGGATGAACTACTGGGAACAAAAGGATTTGGTGACGGAGGAAATTGCGTGCGGGAATCGTCTGTGTACAACATAAACTGAAAAAAGAAAGAGAAATGGAGAAGAGGGAGATATGCTAGTAAACATAGAGTTGAAATTCAGTCATATAGAGGTACGTAAGGAGAACAAGGGGTGCCAACCTCGGACTAGTTAAGACATTGACTAAGAGACACAACCAACAGCTTGAGCGATAGACTTTAAAGTATAAGTTCATTGGTTTGTTGAAAATCTTTCTGAGTCGCTATTATATGCCCCATATAAATAAATTTTCATGACGAAACCATGTCGGGCATTGACAGGAAGTATTTTGCAGTCTGCTCGATATTGAATGCTTTTACGTGGCCTTCTACTCACATTTTTCCTTATATTTTTCAATGAAGTTAAATAAACAAACATGAAAGAGAACAACCATATGACTTAAGTATTCGCACTCAGGTACATATTGACAATACAGGTCAGGCTAATATCCACCTAGTGTTTTGCCTTTTCTTGTTACGAGATCTTCTTTCTTGTGCTTGAGATGTTTTTTTTTTCCGGGTAATGACTCGATCTGAACACAGCCAATATGCGTAAACACTTTCTAAAGCTAGGTTGTTCCACATACACAACCATCCGGCATTTCCGCTTCAAGGTAATCACTCAGCATCCCCGGCCGTAAATGGAACGGCTTCCTCTCAGCTGGGGAAGGGGTGATCGTCTCCTGAAATGGTAGATAGGCCAAAAATTCTTCTAGTACAGAGGCCGCTTTGCCCGCTATATGCAGCCCCCTTATGCCCAAATATGATCCCGTTAAAGAAACGATCGACTAGGAGATAGCCACATGGCAAGACAGACATCGTCATATTAACTGCAAGTACGACTGAAGTACTCAATATGACTTGGAGGCAGTGATTTCTGTTCTTCTTGTTATTTTTATTATATCAAAACCGAAGGCAGGTCATTCAAGTCTTAGCTCCTTATGCTATTCTGCCATGATGGGCCATGCATAAGGCACCCCGGGTGACAAGCTTTAGCTCCAACTTCCACCATCGAAACCAACAAATCCCTAATTGACGTTTGTTAGAAAAGTATTGTGACATGAATGGTCGGGGGGTAAGGAGCACGTGGAAAACTTACAGTCAACAAGAATACGGGGAAGTATGATTTCTTCTCAATTTGAGAGCACCCTATAATGTTCATACAATCGTATAAGTAGCGGGATAAAACCTGGGTGCCTTTCGTATTTTCACTTACAGTTCCAAGCTGATGTCAGTCTACCGTCGATGCAGCTACCAGCATCAAAAAAGTTATCAGCACCAGATCCATCAAAGGCGCTTCTGAAAAAGTCCACTGCAATCCACGTAGTCAAAGGTAAGCTTAACAGAAATATGCAGACGTGACGGCCATACCCCTTGGATCAAAAATGAACACTTACGCAATATGTCTTTTCTGCACTGTTCAACACCCCCAAATGTACTCTGTACATACTCTTGAAGCCCTGGATCTTCAGAAAAGTCATCCAGCTTGTCAAGGGTAAGCACAATAGGATTCAGGATACGTGCTACTTGATTATACTGGATCATGCTTGTCAGTACCCGCGAGCCACCAAACATTGTGGGTTTCATAGGGGCTTACCTTGTCTATAAACATGAATGCATTGGCCACATTCTTATCGCCGAGATGGATGACACTGCTCCCTATCCAGGAACCCGATTTTTTTTGCGCGCGATGCAGTGTTCTATGCATCTCTCGACTAACAGAGGGGCATGCTTGTATACGGTGCAATCCTTGTCCTGTATTGGTTAACCGATATGGGTTGGAGGACAACAAGTCGTCATCAGATAGACTCCAAAGCATAAACATTTCATGAAGAATCTCTCTCCAGAGATTGAGTGTCTGGTGCACATAGGCAAATTGAGTGGCATGATTATGTGTCAATCGATGACCACCACGTCCTGAAGAGATAGCAAGTGAATATCCAGGCTCTGCCTTGGTGGGACTGAAGTACTTTGTAAGATATTTCAACATTTTCTCACAGGGATCACTAGAAATGTTGTAATTGTTTCAAATTAATATCCGTCATTCTTCCCATTTCTAGGTTAATATAACTTACCGATTGGCTCTAAGGAAGGCATGATTGTCCGAAAGCGACAATAAACATCGTTTAATCTGGTCCCTCGTTATCCGTTCGTTCTGGTAAGTTTCGCAAAGGTATTCCATTGCCTTCTCCTTACGTTTTATCTCTGCATCGATATGCGTTCTAGATTTGCCATCGGACACAATTTCTCTTGTGGCCATTGCGATTGAATCATCGTGAAGTAGCTCTAGGCTTTCCGTTTCCTTCAAGAAGGTATATACTGTCTTAATCGGTATAACACAAGAGAACCCTAAGAGATCCTGTACATCAGGAATGACAGAGTCCTACGGTGAAATGATAATAAGTAATCTGAGTGATCTCGCCTCGCCGCACCCACATTATTGGTCCTCCCTACCATCAAAAGATATATAAGCTTGCCATAAGATGACCGCATTTTTTCTGGGTTCATAATCTTGTGTCTGGAAAACGTAATTAGTAATGGACGACCTAAACATTTGATTCTTTTTACGGCAGAATACAATACCTTCGGCCCACTTCAAACACATTTTGAAAGAACACTTCATTTTCACTGAAGGCACGATCGGAAAAAAGTTCCTGGCCAAGTTTGTAGTCCCCAGCCACTACCAGTCCGGACAAAATAGCACAAAAGTCTTTAATTTGTGCCACTATGCGTTTGGATTTACTTGAATATGAAATGATATCCACTTTGTCTGCATGAAGTTTGCGATGTTAAAAGAGCGGCCAGGTATAAGAGAAGCAATTCCACACATAACACAAACCTGTGTATTCTGAAACATTCAGAGCCGCCTCCAACCTGTAAAACAAGTGTGAGGAAAACGTGGTGTATGCGCGCGGTCGAGCCACGTTTCGGTATACTTACAGTCTAAGCTTAATCCTCTCCTCGGCATCCAAGCGAAGGGGAACAAATTTGGCTCTATAAGGCGTAAATCCATCAGCACCCTTCGATTTCTATGGGCGGTTCACACCTCGGCAGAATTACCTTTTGACCATCCATTCACCAAGTGTCGCGCCACTTCCACTTATTACTGTGCCGTCTAATTGTGAGCTGTCTGATGATGATTCTGACAAAGCACTATTATTCTACAAATGAAAAAGATAAGGAAAAAAAATCCTCTGATCAATTTATGTGCTGTATATACTGTTGTAAATGCAGGCGCAACACTTACATCGTCACGATTATCTACAGCTAGATTGTCCCTTACTGGTATGAAAGCATGCGAATTCTCCATGGTCCTAGATGATACTGTTTTTAAGTTTCTTGCAGTATGCTTTCGGCGATTACCGGTGCGATGAAGCATGCCTGATTTTGCGGTTAGAGAGAGAGACATAATTCGCATATCCGGAGCAAAATTCGGACTCTTACCATGGCACACCTCACAGAAGTCTTCATCGCATTGCTCACAGAATACCGCCGCCTAAACACATTCAATCATTATTAATTATATCCGAACTGCAAACAGACCAAAGGGAGAAGATATTTGTTGGTGTAGTGGTGGCCACACCTGGACATGGTAGATGAGTTTACCTCTTGGTCTTTACATTCCACGCAATAATCTAGTTTGGGGGGTGGAAGCTCTTGGCTTGCTAAAATGTCTTCGTCTGTGTCCATCAAAGAAAGCTTTTCCGATTGGTTGTCTTTAAGTACGTCCTTCCCATCGTTAGACATTCTTTATTGTGTGCGATCAAAGCGATCAGCGTCTGCTTGAAACATCGCACTGTATCTGGTCGGACATCCAATTGCGAGAAAGTAGTCACTAAATGCACTCAATAGGCCTGGCAATGATGACAAGTCAAGCACACAGATCGGCCATAGATGGAACAATCATTCCCAACAACGCCTTCCTCAACTGGTCTCAAGGAGACAATGACAAGATAAGAATAACAGCTGCCCGTTCAGTGTATTCACAAATCGCTATTGCTCATGATCAATTCATTTAAAGCAACCCTTTACCATGCCACTTGAAACAAGTGTAATTTGGAAAGCTTTGATGCAAACGTAGCTTAGATTTGAGAATCATGATACAAGTGACGAGTGTTCAAGTTGATATGGAAAGTTCGGTTCAGTTTTCAGTTTAGTTCAAGGAAAAGCAGTCCTAACAAGCAGGTAAAGTTCCTGAGCTCAGCCACCTTTTTTTTTTTATTTCGAGCCATAGAGAACTGCCTATCGAACAACTTTCATTCCGTAACAATGGCACCCATCCAAGATTCTAAGTTGAACGCTCTGGTCTACCAGTACCTTACCAGTCAAGAGTTTACTGAGGCTGCCAAGGCTTTGAAAAAGAAAATAGGATCGGTAAGTTTACCCACATAGTTGTTCATCACCAGCACTTGCTTATAGTCCGTACTTATCATAATATGACTTTGTCTGCAGGTCAAGGAGGTCGAAGGAGAATCCTTGGTTGATATATATCAAAAGAATAAGAGCAGGTTTGTTTTTATTTTCACTTGCATGCTACCAAACGCCATTTAACTGACATTGACAACAGCGAGACCAAAGATGATAGCAGCAGCAGCAGTTCCTCATCTTCTAGTGAGAGCGAATCTGACTCATCCAGCTCTGAATCAGAAGAAGAAGTAGAAGAAGAAGTGGCTAAGAGCAGTAGCAGCAGCAGCAGCTCGTCTTCTGAAAGCGAATCTTCAGATAGCTCATCAGATAGCTCATCTTCCGATAGCGAATCATCCTCAGACGAAGAAGAGGAAGAGGAGCAGAAGGCTGAAGCCATGGTTGAATCTGATTCTGATTCCTCTAGCAGCAGCAGCAGCAGCAGCAGCAGCAGCAGCAGCAGCAGCAGCAGCAGCAGCAGCAGCAGCGAAGATTCCGGTAGCGAGAGTGATTCCGAAAGTGAAGATGAAAAGGAAGAAGCTAAAGCACAATCTTCAAGCTCTGACTCTAGCTCTGACTCTAGTTCTGACTCTAGCTCTGACTCCAGCTCTGAATCAGAAGATGAAAAGGCACAATCCAGCAGTGATGATTCTTCTAGCGAAAGTGAAAGTGAAAAGGCTGCTGAATCAAGCGATTCTAGCTCCAGCTCCAGCTCCGATAGCAGCAGCAGCAGTGACTCTGATAGCAGCAGTGACTCCTCTAGCGATAGTGAATCAGAGAGCGAAAGCAAGAGTGCAGTAAAGCCCAGCGCAAAGCGAAAACTTGAAAGCTCAGAAAGTTCAGAGCCGTCATCCGATAGTACAGCTGTAAATGAAGCTAAACCCGAGCCAGTGAAGAAGCAGGTAATGTAAACATGAGCAAAACTTACTTTATTTTATTTTGTTTGTACTGACTATTTTTTTAAAATATAGCGAACACAAGGCGAACGCTTTCAACGAGTCAAGGCCCATGAAGTTAACTTTCATGACGACCGATTGCGAGATAATTCTTATGTTTCCAAGGGAGGATCAGACGATAGATCTTATGGTTGGAAAGCACATCAAGATCTCATTGTAACCAGAGGAGATAAATTCCGAGCCGAGAAGAATAAGAAGAAGCGAGGTTCATACCGTGGTGGTCAGATCGATTTCCAGAGCCACAGCATTAAGTTCGACTATGAAGACGAGTAGTGCAGTCATTCACACTTTTAAAAAAAGAGCATCCAACATTAATAAAAAGTATCGCATTTTTCCTTTTCACCAGAGGGAATGAAGTTGCTGGAGCGATCACGTTGCCTGCAGGTGATCAGTGTTTCCGTGTTCCCCGAAAGCAGTCAAAGCTGGCCCATGCTTTTTATATGTCGGTGGTACCTGCAACGCTGATAACGCTCCAGCCAAGTACTTTCAGTATTGAGCTATAATCACCCTGAATATCACTTTCATAATAATTAATTTCAATTGTCTTATGGTTGATCGATTCTGTTTCATGTAGCGTCTTGTCTTCAATATCGAGTCTATTTCACACATGCTTCACAAGATGATAAATCATAGGGCAACCAGGAAATAAAAGTCACTTGAGCGGATAAAGGACCGCCTCTTTCTCTCTCTCTTTTTCCCTCAGTGCATTCCCCTTCCCTAGGTTTCTTACTGCTCTCCTAAATATAATCTGTCTTTCCTCAATTCCACTCTCTCCATGGTCAACCTTGACCCCCCTCCAGATCCTACGCGTCTAATGTCCCATCTCCGCCGTTCCCAAAGCCATCCTGATCAGCCAAAGGCTTCCAAAGGTACATCTCCTGTCTTTGCATGTTACAGTGCCCTTCTCAATTGAAGGAATGAATAATTTCCTTTGCTCATATGACCAAAAATGATTCGATTTTGTGTGTAGCAGGATCGAACAGCTCCAATTTATCACACGTTCCCTGCAAGTTTTGGAAGCAAGGGACTTGTACCGCTGGAGCGAACTGTATCTTTTCTCATAATTTGGACGCTACTTCTGAGACTTCTGTGTGCAAATACTTCCTCAAAGGCAATTGCAAGTTTGGGACCAAATGTGCCTTGCTACATACTTTGTCACCCCAAGCTCCCGATGGTCGTAAACTACTGAATAGCCGATCTAATGCGGCTGCACTCTCACGGTCGTTGGGCACTTCCAGCCAACAACAAATGAACTCATCCTTGCGCTCTGGCCCATTAGATCTGAATTCCTTCTCTTCAAATTCTCGTCCCTCACCAGACCTGTCGCCGTTTGCTCGTATTCCAATCGACTCCGGTTCTCCAAGTGGTAATGATCGATATAGTCAGCTCTCTGCCAACATAAGTCAAAACTTTTTGGGAACTTCAGCACCTTCCACAGTCAATACTTCTCATTTTCGTCTTGGGCAGTCTCCAGGTTCAATGGATGGTCACTTGTCACCTACTGAGACCTCCTTTTCTCCATTTTCTGGTCGTCGAGGCTTGTACATGCCCCAACACCAAACTCCGCAGTACACCGCTCTTTCTCCGCGTACAGCGTCGTTGTCCAAATTAAACGGTATTCCAGAAAGAGAGCATGACTACTTTGAAATGGACCAGCTGGATGAAGATATGAGTAGTTTGCTTCAAAATCTTGAAGGGACAGAAGAATCGATGCTTCCATCCTCCCTCAATGATTTGCTGACACCAAGTGAGCTTTTGTCACGTAGGGCAAGGGAGCAAAGAGAGGGTCTATCTGGCACACCATCAGGTACCACTTTATCGCGATCCCTCAGAAGCTACAGTGGTAGTAAAGAAATGCTTCCCGTATCACCTACCTTGAGCGGCGATCAACGTGCCTATCGTACATCTAATTCACCACTGGCTCCTGCTGCTGCGAATGGAACTCAGCCTTGGAGTGTTCCATTCTATCAAAATATTGGCAATAGTCGTGAATCGCCCAAGGTTACTGCTGTTGAAGATTCGCCACAATTATCAGCTGAGCAAGGGGACTTGTCGTCTAGCATATCAAACGCGATCAATATACCTGGTGGTGGAGGATCGAAGCAGCATATTGCATCGGTTCATACAATTCGACGACCAGCATACAGCAAAGGGTTTGATGAAACAGATCCTTTTGATCCATTTACCTCTGGAGGGGATGATGATGTCCAGTTCTATATGGAAGAGGATGAGACAGTTGAGGTTGGACCAGGTACCTCCATCATGCCCAACATGCAGTCACGAATATCGACTGAACTTCGACGACCCAACTAAAGAGATTATATCCTCGAGGTCCACGCCACTCGACGGACACGCACATACCCAACACTTCCCCAAAAAATGTAAAAGTTCAGTGTTTTGGGATCTATTTTTCTTTCCTCTTTTCAGCACCTAAAGCGATATCTTGCACAACACAACTGGAGATCTCCCCCCGTCCAATCAAAAAGGCCTAAAAATGGGCACTGTGAGTGTATGTGTGTGTGAGAAAGAGCAACTCGTACATCCTCCAAAAGAAAGATAACTTCCCCTCATCAAAAGCAAAGCAAAAAAAAAAAAAAAACACTGCTTGTGAATATATACATTCAGATCGTACCTGTTCAATGTATATACGTAGGCTCTCTTCCCCTCTTCCACGAACCCTTTTGTACTTTCTCCTCTTTCCTTATTTCTGTTCCCTTTTTTTTTTTTTCTACGTAGTGTCGTCCATCTTTACCCCCAAGCAGTCAAACAAAAGAACCCCCAATGAAAAATATTCCTCCAAAAGCCTACATGTTTGTGAATTACAAGCAATGGAATAGTAAAAAATTGAAAGCCAGTGACGAAAAATTAGAAAAATGTGGTATCCATTGAGGTGAAAAGACACGTGAAAGCAATAATAAATCATACAGTGAATCGTATAGAAGACAAAAAGAAATAGTCGATAATGATATAAAAAAAAATGAACAACGAAAATGAAAAAGATCTAAGTGAAAAAGATTAATGGAGGCCAGCTATGATGGACATGCTTGATTCGCTCGCTGTACTTTTTTTGTCTAATGTCCATAACCCAAAAATTCCAAAGCAAACCAAAGAAGTGAGCCGCTGATAACAGGAATGGTGAGATTGTCATCCACGTTCGCCACACCACCGATCGCCTCACTAAAGGCCGCCACAAAGCCTCCATATAAAGACAGTTGAGTCAATGAGACAGGAGCAGTTGATGAATAGCTCGGGTGACTGAATCCGTGTGCCATCATGTGGTTATAAAACTGGTAGGTCACTAGAGCCCCTATGGCCGCTGCACCCAGTGACCCAGCCAAAGACTTGTTGCTATACTTGGGAGTATATTGACCAAACAGACGTCCGCATATGCTGGCTGTAGGGTCTGTCCATGACAAATAGACGATAGAAAGTGAACCAATGTCTTTGGGAAAGCAGTAAAGTACAATGATGCAACCTGAAGTAGAAAAATATGTCAGAGCGCTGACCTTGAATATCTCCCTCTAAATAGAGCCTTGGCAGTTACACATATCCCGCCCGCCCGACAACTTACCCAGCAGATAGTAAACCACTCCATTCACTCTCGATGATATTTCAGTCTTGCGCATCATAGGTCCAAGCAATGATATGTAGATAGAATTGAACCAGCTGGATGAAAATCGAAGTACTTCCGCAGAGCTGACGATGGCGAGGAGAGCCGTCAACGCTGGGTATATGTCGCTAGGCTCATATCCGTGCGTGTATAAGTAGAGTACAACAAAGCCTAAAATAACAGTAGGTGTAAGCTGATTGATAAAAAGCCAAGGGGTGGGGTGAACTTCTTCGTACCTATTGAATAATGAAACGCTTTTCTTGGTAGTTCCCAGCTGCCTTTGGGTTGGATATAGGAATAGCGATCGGGCTTGGAATGGCCATTAGTAGTTGAATGGCCGTTGGTCTCTACCTTGCCATTACCATTGGAATTTCTCGCCATGTCAAAGGCTCTTAAATTAAGGACAATAAGGAAAAAGGTGCTAACAAATGAGGACAGTGAAAATCTTTCACAGGTTTGTAACTTTCACATGTCAGGTGACTTGACCAGTGAACATTCGCCCCGTTTGGTACAATATTTTTGGTCTCAAGATGATGCTCGGCTGTCCGATAGGGAATAACGATTTGGTATTGCCATGACGCAAAAACCGAACATCACTTGTTTATAAACTAATCCTTGAGTGAAAGATATATTTGTGCGACACTACTTCTATAGCCTTGACAGGTATTCAAGCGGTTACGTCAACCACATTGTGTCCTTCAGCAGTGAGCTTTCAAAAAAGAAATATTTATTGCACGTTTGACATTTAAGCATCATCCATCTCGCTTTTTATGGATTCTTTAGCAAGTCTCTCAGCTTCTTCGACGATATCCTTGGGGACAGCGGTATGCTTTCCTTTGCTCTCTTCACATATCCACGTGATTTCGAGCTCAAAGTCCTTATCCTTGGCCTCATCGTGTGCTGTGTGAATACTACAGGATGGAAACTGTCAGCTTCTTGCCGGTTGGACCATTCGGTAATATAGAAGAGAAGGGCTACTTACATGCGTGCTGCCTCTCTGACTGCCTCTTGTACGCTCATCTCATCCAACTTCAATTTCTCAATTTCAGTCTTTGCAACAGATTTACCCTTGCCAACAGCACATCCGTGGTAGCCCTAGTAATATGATTTGATTAATAACTTGAGCAAAACGAGAATGCCTCGTAAAAACCTGATATTTTACCCAATAGACACCAGAAGGCTCAATCATGTAAAGCGTTGCTTCGCCATCCAAGTATGTACCTATGATGGTTCCGGCACCTAAAGGACGGACGGAAGAATAAAGAGTATGTGCTTGAACAAAGAGTCCTAATCGGTCTGCCATTGACTGCAAATAAATACGTCTTCCGTTTAGCATATCATATCATCGATGTGGTGATCGAATTCTAGCCAGGCAATATTACCTTTCCAGAAATAGGTTGACGATAATTGTCTCTCCAGCTCTTCGCTTCGTCTCTTGCACTTTGAGCTATATAACGTCCATCAGACAGTAATCCAGCAGAAACCTAATAATAAGACGTGTCAGAAGTGTTTGCTGATCAATGGGTCGCATATGATGTAAAGCGTTTACATACAATGCCGACATGCATGTCCGCGCTTAGAATACGTTTGTTTGATCCAGGAACAACTAGCTTTGATTGTACAAGTTTCTCAACGGCAAGAACGACGCCGCCCTTCACACGTAGGCCAATGGCAGTTCTGTTAAGATTGTCAGGAACACAGGTTTCGAGTTATATCATGTCGTCGGTTGAATTCGACTCCAGAGTCAACGATCAGGTACATACCCGCTGTTTTCTACTGCCTTATTTGCATATTCTATTTGAAAGAGACGTCCGTCGGGGGAATATGTTGATGAATAGATATCGTACTAGAATTTGCCAATGCGTCAGTGAAAGGTACTTTGGAAGCTTGTCAGAGACTTCTACACACTCGCGTTGGAGTAGTGCTGAAAGTCTAGTATGTAAATTAACCTACTCCTGTGCCAATACCGCTCATTGTTGTAGATCAATGGTAGAAACTAGTCTTCGAGATTAGGCAGTACAGCGTCGGGGTCACACCTTTATACCTGCATCCGCGACGCGCAAAAGCTCGCCCAACGTCAGCTTTGGATGACGTCGTGATTGATTAAACTGAATTTTATAAATGAAAAACCTGAAATGACAAGTCACAATTTTTTGTCCCAAAATCATTTTGAAACCGAAAAATTTCAAATGTGCAAGAAAGGAACGATCTGACTGGCACAGCTCTTTTTGCCCTCTCACTTCTTCCGTTTAAATGTCAGAAGATCCACAGGAACCAGTAACGGTTCAGACACTTATAAAGGAACTATGGACATCTTCCACCAGTGAGGATTGCGACACTGCTGCTCATCAGCTTGCTGAAATCATAAAGAAGCAAGGTATCGCATCCCTGAAGGTACATGGTGTTCTTGAGAGCTTTGTCAACGGAGCCAAGAACAAAAAAAGTGGCCTAGAGAGAGAGGGTGCTCTTATCGGATTCAACGCTCTGGCAGAAGTCTTGGGTGCTCAAAGCGAACCTATCCTGCTTCCCTATGTCCCTATCATCCTTGATTTATATGCTGATAAGGGATCTGTTGTACAAGAAACCGCTGAACTAGCTGCCACCAATATTGTCAAAGATATTCCAGCAGAAGCTTACAAAGCCCTCTTGCCTATTATATACGAAGGATTGGGTGTTAATGGATCCAAGAAATGGCAGACAAAGGTTGGAGCTCTCAAGATGCTTACCCGCCTTGGAGAGATAGCCCCAACACAAATCGCTTTATCGCTGCCAGAACTTATTCCTATTGTTTCCGATTATGGATTGACAGATACAAAGAGTGAGGTAGGGGAAAATGGACTTACAGTGATTTATCTTACAGTCGATAATGCTGACTAACCTTTTGGCCAACAGGTTGAGAAAGCAGCAAACGAAACCATGATGAAGATCTGCTCCGTTGGAGGCAATGCCGATATCCAGAAGCATATGAAGGATCTTGTCAACTGTATGGCTCACCCTAGTATTGTTACTCAAACCATCGCCAAATTGTCAGCCACAACCTTTGTTGCTGAAGTCGATGGCCCATGTCTTGCTGTTATGGTCCCACTCCTTGTCCGTGCTTTGAACGAACGATCTACTCTAACTTTACGTCAAACCGTTGTCATCATTGACAATTTGTGTAAACTTGTCAAGGACCCTAAGACAGCTGCTCAGTTCTTGCCTAGTTTGTACCCTGGAGTTGACCATCAAGCTGAACAAGCTGCTTTCCCTGAAATTAGAGCTTTGGCTACTGCTGCCAGACGTACTCTTGTGAATGCCGGTGGTGGTGCCAAGAGCGATGGAACTGCCGTCGAAGAAACCGTCGATGATAATATCACTCCATCAGAAGAGGAGGCTCTCAAGATTGTGAAGCAAAAGATTAGCAAGGCTCAAAATTTCATCGACTCTTTCTTCAACCCCGTCATCAACTACATCAGTTTGATTACCATTGAGCTTGTCCGCCAAGAAGTCTTTAGCTCAAAGACATGGTCACAGCTCTTGTTACCTTACCTCCGATCTTTCTTATTGGAAAAGGATGCAGCCAATGTCTGCCATGATATCCACCATTACTACCATGAATTGGACTCCGCTCGTAATAGTGATGATGATGGTTTTGACGACATGGAAGGAGAAGAGTTGTGCAATATCGATTTCTCTCTCGCTTATGGTGGTATGATGTTGTTGAATCATACCAAGTTGAGACTGCATCGTGGCCAACGTTATGGTCTCTGCGGTCAGAATGGTGCTGGTAAATCGACTCTTATGCGAGCTATCAGTCAAGGAAAACTTGAAGGCTTCCCCAGTCAAGATCAACTTCGTACAGTTTATGTTGAACACGCCTTGCAAGGCGAAGATACGACTGTCCCAATTTTGCAATTTGTTTGCTCTGATCCCAAGCTCGCTGGTGTCACCGAGGAGCAAGTTGCTGAAGGCCTTCGCAAAGTTGGATTTACCGATGAGCGTCAACAGGCCCAAGTTGGATCTTTGTCTGGAGGCTGGAAGATGAAGTTGGAATTAGCTCGTGCTATGCTTATGAAGGCTGATATTTTGCTACTTGACGAACCTACTAACCATTTGGACGTCGCCAACGTAGAATGGCTTGCAAACTATCTCATTGATGAAAAGAACGTCACTAGCGTTATCGTATCCCACGACTCTGGATTTTTGGACAAAGTATGCACAAACATTCTCCATTATGAAAAGAAGAAGCTTCGATTATACCCTGGTAACCTCACTGCGTTCGTTGGCGCTCGTCCCGAGGCAAAATCTTACTTCACTTTGGCTGCCACCTCTGTCAAGTTCCAGTTTCCTAAGCCATCTGTCTTGACTGGTGTTCGATCCAACACGAAAGCCATTCTCAAAATGACCGATTGTACCTATACTTATCCCGGAGCCCCACGGCCTTCCCTCAAGAATGCCTCTGTTTCTCTTTCACTTGGATCTCGTGTGGCTGTTCTTGGTGCCAACGGTGCTGGCAAGTCTACCATGATCAAGTTGTTGACTGGTGAAATGACCCCTCAAGAAGGCACTATTTGGAGACATCCTAACTTGCGTATTGGTTACGTTGCACAACATGCCTTCCACCATCTTGAGCAACATTTAGAGAAAACACCTTACGAATACCTTATGTGGCGTTACCAAGGAGGTGAGGATCGTGAAGTTCTTGAAAAGGAGACCCGTATCTGGAGTGAAGAAGAACAAAAGCAGATGGACACCTATGTCAATATTAATGGAGAGAGTCGCCAAGTCGAATTTATCATTGGTCGTTCCAAGCTGAAGAAGACTTTCCAGTATGAGATCAAGTGGAGAAATCTTCGACACCAGAAGAACACCTGGATCCCACGAGATAAGCTTTTGGACCTTGGTTTTGGAAAACTTGTACAACAGTTTGACGACAAGGAAGCCTCTCGTGAAGGTTTGGCTTATCGTGAGCTCACCTCTTTGGCTATTCGTCAACACTTTGAAGATGTTGGTCTTGCTTCTGACATTGCCATGTACAACAAGATTGAACAACTTTCTGGTGGTCAAAAGGTCAAGGTCGTTATCGGTGCTGCCATGTGGAACAACTCCCACATGTTGGTCCTTGAGTAAGTATTCTATTCGCTGAACAAACACACACGTGGGGGGTTAAGTTCTTACCAAAGCGTTTCATTTTTTTAGCGAACCTACCAATTTCTTGGACAGAGAAGCTCTTGGTGGTATGGCTGTAGCCATCCGTGTTTGGGAAGGAGCTGTTGTTATGGTTTCTCACTCCACAGAGTTTGTTGGAGCTCTTTGCCCTGAGCATTGGCAGATTGAAGCAGGAGAGCTTACCAAATTAGGCAAATCGGCAATTGTAGAGGACAGTGTCCAAATTGACGAAGAAAAAATTAGAGCCAAGAACAAGAAGAAGAAGAAGATGACTCGCAACGACGTTAAGGAGCAACAAATTAGACGTAGACAACGGCACCTTAAGTGGCTCGCTGAAGGCGGTGAAAAGGAAGCCGATACCGATAGTGATTAGAATTACCACACATTGTAGAATGACGTTGACTTGCTCTTTGGACTCAAAATTACAGTCTTGGCGCACAGTCATCGTCAGGCCCTAAATTGACATTATATTTTTTTAGTTTCTCACTCCATACATTTCTCTCTCTCTCATACATTTATAAACTCATGTACGAACAAGCTTTGCAAAGTTTAAAAGAAGCATTCCCTACTGTTGACCCTGTGGTCGTTGAAGCTATCTTGGATTCACACAGAGGTCAAGCCGATCAGTGCTTTGAGCCATTGCTCCGCATTTCAGATCCAAGCTATAAGCCAGATGCCCCACAGCGTCGACAATCTCAGCCTCTACCATCTGAGCAGACGACTCGGACACCAGAAGACCCCGAACAAGAGGCACCTGCAGAATTGACTCCAGAAGAGCAGATGCGTAGAGATGAGGACTATGCACGTCAACTTGCACTGGAAGATGAGCGTGAGAGAGTCCGTTTGTATCAGAGACAACAGCAACAGCAACAGAAAGGTGGGTGGGTGGGCGTGAATAGGACACACGCCTTTATTGGGAGATAGCTAAACATGCTCTTATCAGGTAATCAAAGGCCACCAGCACCCGAGCGAGATAATTCTCAGGGAATGCTCAGCTCCTTTGAGCAAGAGCTTCCCGTCATCAAAGAGCGTATGATTGAAGCTGGAACAGGTAAATAAACCTTGGCTTTTTGCTATGAAAGTGCTACGTTAGACTTGGCTGACTCTTTTTTTCCGAAATCCCTATTACAGCTGCCAAGAACAAAATGATGCAGTGGTATAACCAAATGAAGGAAACTAGTCAGCAGAGTAGTCAAAACACTATGCCTCCTACCAACGCACGATACAGGTAAGTGATTCCACCACTGTGTAAGTTGCTGATCAAGGTATACATTCTTATCTAAATTTCGGCAGGGGTCTATCTCGCGACGAACACGACGATTTGTTGAGTGGTGATATGTCTGCTTTGCATTTGTCTGAAAACGACGTGTACAACAGAACAACTGGACAAGCTTTCCCTCAACGCCAAAACACTACAGATACTTCGGAATGGGATGATCGACTTGGTAAGTATTGGGAGGGGGGGTGGAAAAAGAGTCATATGATATGGATTCATGACTTGGTTTGCTTACTGGCTTGGCAATACAATAGAACGTAGAAGACCAGGCCAACAAAGTCCGACTTCAAACACCATCCAGGTCAATCCACCTGTCGGAGGACCGCGTCAGCAACCCTTCAAGACATCCACATCTATTGAACAACTGAACGCAGATGAGGAATTAGCTAGACGCCTCGCTTATGCAGACGACTATCCCACATCGCCACCCGTCATGCCTGCTAGACCAAGCTCTCAATCACCACCTCAAGCAAATCTCTCTCCTGTACACAGCCCTGTGCAATCACCAAATGCACAGCTGTCCCCTGCCTCTCGTTCTATTGAGGTCAATCCTCGCGATCCAGGTAAAGAGCATCTCTATAGTGAAAACAAATGATTCATCTGACAGAACCTAACATCGACCATTATAGAAGATGAAGAATATGCTCAACCATATACCATTTCACCAAAGGCACCATCTCCTAAGGAAGCAAGTGATGAACCTCTCAAGCCTGATGAGAATATTCAAAAGGAGCTGTTGGCTGCACAAGATGAAGATTTTGGCTTGGTAGACGTTGAAGACGATGACGATGAAGATGAAGAACTTGAGTCACATAAAGGTCAGTTTCATTAATTCAGAGTGTATCTTCAGGATTCTTCATCTTACTGATCCCACCCTACGCTATAGCCATTAAGGCGGCCAAACAAGAGAAGTAATTAAACTACACTTAAATCTTTCAATGACCTTATTCTTCTGTGAACGAATTTCATAGCACATTCCTTCCATTCTATATCTACACATTTCTTTCTTCTTCTTCTTTTTGGGAATAATCCACCTTTCGTAAGTCATGAACACAAAACCCTCTTTATTGTCATTACAAAGCGTTGAAAATTAAGACGGAGATTGAATGTTACCCCACGAAATACAATGTAAACTCCCAAAAAAAACTGTCTTTCATCCTTCTTTCCAATCAACTATGTCGGTAAAACCAGTGGTTGCATCTTCCGATTCAGGTTTCCGCCAGGTATACAACCAACCAATGTCAATCGATAGTGTAGTCATTAGAACATGGCTGCACTAGCCAAAGTTTTCAGCACCAATATGCTAAATTTTCTCAAACGTAGTCTCCTCCAACACAAGGTTCTAACGTCTACGAAAATGACACCGTCTTACAAAACATTCTGAAGAGACACTTACCTCCATCTGTCATGAGTCAGGTTGAACCTGATCTTCATCGATTTGGAAAACTAGTCGTTGATGGTACGTTGAAAGAGACCAGCAAAGTCAACTATCACATGGATGTGTTCTCACGATACCTATTTTCATGCTATAGAATGTGCACCTCTTGCCAAAAAATGTGAAGAGCCCGGCAACCACCCTCGCCTGCGTCAATACGATGCTTGGTGCCAACGTGTCGACGACATTGTCTTACCGAACGAATGGACTCAGCTACATGATATTGCAGCACGTGAAGGCCTTGTCGCAATCGCCTATGAACGTCCCCATGGTGAATACTCTCGTCTGTATCAATTCGCAAAGCAGTACATGTACATGCCCTTCAGTGCAAATGTCTCCTGCCCGTTAAGCATGACCGATGGCGCAGCCAGAATTGTTGAATTACTGGGAACACCGGAGATGAAGCAAAAATACTATAAGAAATTGACAAGGTACACTTCAATTTTTAAAAAAATTATACCGTTACTATTTCTTACTAACTTCTGTATGCTATAGCCGCGACCCAAGAGAATTCTGGACTTCGGGCCAGTGGATGACCGAACGCCCAGGAGGCAGTGACGTTGGTAAGTTGACACTTTATATAATACTACCACACATAAGATAAGATATTTTGACTCGATTGAACTCACGATTTACAATTCAAATAGGACGCTCCGAAACTATTGCAGAGCTTGAAGATGAGGCCAATAACGTTTGGTCCGTCAAGGGTTTCAAGTGGTTCTCTAGCGCCACCACAGCGGACATGACCATGCTACTGGCTAGAACGGTCGATCCCAAGACAGGTACTGTTAACCCTGGAAGCAAGGGCCTGTCCTTATACCTTGCAGAGCTCCGAAAGGAAGATGGTACCTTGAACGGCGTTCGCGTTCATCGACTCAAAGACAAATATGGCACCAAAGCATTGCCTACTGCCGAATTGGAACTCGTTGACATGAAGGCCGCTTTGATGGGCAAACCTCACCGTGGTGTGCCTAATATTACCGCCATCTTGAACATCACTCGTATCTATTCTGTTGCAGGCACATTGGCAGGCGTTGCTTCTTCCTTAGCCGTTGCCAAAGATTTTGCCCGCAAGCGCGAAGTAAGTGCCTAACTGCAATTTGACAATACACCAACATTTATTAAACCCCCTACCTTTTTTTTTTTTCTCTTTCTATAGGCTTTCGGAAAAACACTTGCTATGCAACCACTTCATGTCGAAACCTTGGTTCAGCTGGAATTGGTTTACCGTGCCTTGGCGCAAATGACTTTCTATGAATGCTTGCTACTCGGACGCACTGAGTGCATTGATGAAAACAGCGAGCAAGTCAAAGCCGACATCAAGACCCTTCGATTCATTACCCCCATTTGCAAATCATTTGGCTGCAAGATCGGTATCCAAGCTATTTCAGAGTGCATGGAGGCTCTCGGCGGTCAAGGTTACATGGAGGACGTAGGCATCGCTCGCGCTGTTCGTGATGCTCAGGTCAACACCATTTGGGAGGGTACTACCAATGTTCTGGGTTTGGATGTCCTGAGAGTGCTGAAAGAAACCAAGGGCGAGGCTCTATTCCACTTCAAAGAGGTAAGGCTCATCGCTTCACTTTGCTGTCCTACACCGGGCTAACAATGCACTGCGTATTATATTTATAGACCATCCTGGATAAAATTTCTGGAGATAAGGAAGTGCCTGTATTGGAAAATGCCGCAGAAGCTATCACAATTGCATTGGAGAAGGTCATCACCTTCTTCAGCAGCGTTAAGAACAAATTGGAGCTTGAAGCAAGCGCCCGCGACCTTACCTTCGCTCTTGGCAAGATTCTTGTCGGCGCCTTGTTGTACGAGCAAGCTGCCTGGGCTGTCCAAAGCAAACTACCCAATGCAGAGCAGGATTTGACTGCTCTTGCCAGATGGTGTGACCCGGCTGATCTTCACAAGGATATTCCCCAAAGAGATGACAAAAAGGTTTTGGAAGGTAAGCCTGGTTGCCCGAGAAAACTACAATGAATTTCCGCTACAATGTCTTCCCCGGGCCCTAATTTGTTTTCGTCAAATTTTTTTAGATGCCAAGCTTGTTTTCGGACCTGAAGCCAAGCTCTAAGCGAGTCTAACATATTGTATTTTATTGGGATTGTTGGAATGTATGAATAAAACCGAAATATACAAAATGCCTATTGTTGTTCATCGGCTGACTGGCAAAGTAAAGGCAGCGGGGTAGCACTGCAAATTCACCGGCGATTTTCGCAGTTTACCCATTCAAAATAGCAGTAAACCAGCGCTTCTGGCATATTCTATATTGTGATACAATGGCGATATGAAGATGGTATTAAATGTAGCAGCATCCATGCTCTTTTAAAAACAAATGTATCAATACTTAAAATATATACACATGTAATGGATGAAGAAACTCTCTCTCAAACATACCCTAGCTTCGTCAATAAATGTTGCCTTGAAAATGGCCGACCGTGAGCGCGTGACCATGATTTGGCCACATGGCATCAAAGTTCTTGTTCTCTCCGTTCCAAGGCAACAAATGATTGAGGTGGTACAGCCAAAGTCATTGAGCATGTAGGGCGGGTATATTACATATGGCAAAGCGTGGAGGAATAAAACAGAGTTTTGTGTTGACCGGCCAACTTCTGTCGGAGCTCGGAGGGATTGAACTTTGGCAATGAGCGCAGCTGATATGGCGCGCGAATGTGGGTTTTTGTGAACCCCAAAATGTCAGGACAAGCTATAAAAACCCCACACTTATTTGACAAGCCCTCCTCTCTTATTAAAGGCATTTTACATTTTTGAAATCCTCCTATCAATAGCATGGTCGTCAAGTGGGATCAAAAAGCAGCTCTTGCCTCTATCAAGGAGACCTTCACAGGCAAAGACGATATCTTGAAGCAATCTTTCGAACGATTGGTTCCAGCCATGGAGAAAAAGAGAGAGGAAATCAAAGCGGCTGGTCCCAATGTAAGTTATGACACGAACGATGAGCCGGTCATGTCGTTATAGCTACTGACGTGACGATCTTTCAGTATATCCCTACTTGCGAATTCCAAGACGTGATTGACAACAACGGTCGCATTCCCGACGACGTTGTCAAGCGAGTGCGTGACACCGGCTGCCTTGTCATTAAGAATGTCATTGACGACGAGGAAGTCCTTCAATACAAAAAAGAGATTCAAGAATATTGGTATAGCAATGAGGAACGTACGGGGAAGAAGGTGCGTTCTATTCAAAACGCAAAAGCTCTGGTCAAGATGAGACAGCACCCCAACCTTGTCAAGGCAATGATTGCTGCCAACTACTTGTGGCATGATCCTTCTGGAAAGGCTGATTGGGTTCCCGACAAGCCTATGATGTACAATGATGGATGCCGTATCCGACTCCCTGGTAACCCAGGAGGCATGGATGCCCATGTGGATTCAGGTATGAGTTGGGATCTATGCAAACATGTCCGTGCGCCATCACATAAAATTGACTAATTTGAGATTAGGTGGTATTGATCGATGGTTCCTTGATGATTATCGTCAGATCTACGACAAGGTTTGGGAAGGAAAATGGGAAGAACATGATCCATTCATCGCCACCCAGCGTGTCGAACTTGATCAAGCATCCAACCAATTGTTCAGAGCTTTCCAAGGATGGGTTTCGATGAGCGAAGCTGGCCAAGAAAAGGGTACCATCCGCCTATGCCCTACTATCAGAGAACAAACCGCATATTATCTCCTCAAACCATTGGTCGACCCTGAGATCACCGATAAGAGATGGCCATATCTCCAAAGTATGGGTCTCAGAGAAGAGCTTTACCCTCTTATCAATGAATGTCTGGTTACCATTCCTGACGTTCAACCCGGTGACTACGTGCTTTGGCATTGTGACTTATCCCATAGTGTCGAATATACACACAATGGTGAAAAGGACTCTTCCGTAGCTTACATCCCCGCTGCTCCTATGTGCTCTCTCAACGCTAAATACCTTGTAGCTCAACGTAGAACGTTCTTAGAAGGCTCTAGCTGTCCTGATTTCCAATTCCGTCATGAGGACCCTACCTTCGAACCTCTGTTTGAGAACCGAGCAAGTGAAGAGGATTTGACGGAAGTCGGTAAACAGTTGATGGGCTTCGCTCCTTATACCGCTGACGACAACGATGATGAAAGAACGAAAGACGTCGTTGCAAAATGCAATGCCATTTTGGGATTCTAATCATCTTGTATCTATACATGGTTCTTGGCCATACCACACAGTTATCATAATAAATATCATGAATTTTTTCCTTTGTATTTGATACTTTGTTATGGTTTTCTCGACGTTACTGGGCTTGTTTGTACCACACTTGAAGCATACACCATAAAAACAATTATATGGTTTGTATTATAAAACTATAATGAGCTGCTTGCCCGTAACCTCGGTTCTTCTCGCTAGAATCATGAATGTGCACAACTCAACGGTCAACGAACTGTGATCCTGTGGTTTTGAAGGTTACTCTGCCATCTTTGTCTGGAGGGTATGCAATAACGAGAAGAACTCTAGGGAGCCCAAAGCGTCCACGCACTGCAAGTTGAAGCGAGCTCATTTCAAGACTGTTAATTTGAATGGAAATGATGATGCCCCCCCCCAACAAACCTTCACTAGATGGTCTAGAGCAGCGTCGACGTCTATCTTGGGTCCCTCGCGGCAAGTCACAAAACGTGGTTGACTTTGCCTCGTGGTAAAACAAGCCAGTAAGTAATGATAATGCTTTATTGGGACAACGGCGAGTGGCGAGCGGAGCAAACAGTGGTGAATGCCGGTCCAAACAAAAGTACCCAATATCACTCATAAATAACATTATCCATCCGATATGTGTCTATGAGGGTATGCAGTTTGCATTCGTAAATGGTTATCCAATAGCAAACATAAAGAAGTGCTGCTATGTCCATTGTAACGCGTCGATACGGAGGCTTTTTGATTTTTAAACACCTACAATCGAGGGACATCAAATGAGATTAGTTTACCCCGAAAAGCCAACAGGCTGCCTCTATCACTGATCCTCTCACTACCGAAAGCCTTTCCATAAAATACATAATATTTATTGCCTCCAATCGCACAATCACCGCATTAGTCATCGTTTTCGTTATTGTGTCATGTTTTTGCAATCTACCACCGCCGCGGTTGACCTGTTTTCGGGATTTTCATGGAATACACTCGTGCACATCTTTATATGACGAATCGTACTCACTGGTATCCATGATCAACTGGGTGTTAATATTTCACCTTGTTAGGGTGTCGTAGATGAATGTACGCCACCCATGGAGGAGTACCCTGCTGGGTTCTATTAATAGCGGCATTTCGTTATACGTAGCCAGGGAAAAAAACCTTGGAGAGTTGAATCATAAAATACTGTTCAGTGACGAGGCATCGCTGAAATGAATAAACTTGCCATAGTCACACAACATCCCAGTCAGGACTTCAAATTTGGAAACCCAGTGTGATTTTATGGTGTGACGGAACAACAGGCAACTCTAAGTATCAACTGTGTGGGGAATGTTCTGGCATATATAAAGGATAGACCAGCACAACAATCAAAAGGTCCGCACCTTGTTATTTCAACTAGGAAACATTTACAGACACCATGGTTGCTCATTGGGATCAGAAAGGCGTTATTCAGAAAGTGAAGGAGGATTATCAACCCAAAGAGGATGTTCTCCAAGCTTCATACGATCGTCTTTTGACCGTTATTAAGGAGAAGATTGCTGAAATCCAGCGTCAAGGACCCAAGGTATGTTTTAATGTCATGAAGTGAGATAAGCGTTTGTCAGGTACGGGTCCATTAATCCGATCTACAGTTTATCCCTGAATGTGACTTCACCGATGTTGAGGCAAACAATGGACAAGTGCCAGAGGAGGTCCTCCAGAGAGTCAAAGATACTGGATGCTTGATTATTCACAACGTCATTCCTGATGAAGAGGTCTTGCAGAGGAAGAAAGAAATTGAAGACTACTGGTACGGTAACCAAGAACGACTAGGTGTTAAGGCCCGCGGAGTGATGAACGCCCTGGGATTGTTTAAGCTCAGAGAGCACCCCAACTTGGTCAAGTGTATTGTTGCCGCCAACTCGTTGTGGCATGACCCTAGTGGAGACGTAGAATGGTGTCCCACCAAGCCCATGGTCTACCTTGATGGCTGCCGTATCCGAAATCCCGGCGAAGAAGGTGGCATGCTTGCCCATGTCGACAGTGGCGGCATTGAGCGATGGTGGCATGACGAGTACAAGCAGTGCTATAAGGCTGTGTGGGAAGGAAAGTGGGAGGAACTCGACTCATATGATGTTAGTTACCGCACCACTTCCCCTCTTCCTACCAACAAATTCTTCCGCGCCTTCCAGGTAAGAAAAAATTCTCGAAAGGTCGAGGTAGGAAGGACTTTTTTATTGACTTCTATTCACAGGGCTGGATTGCCATGAGCGAGGCTGGTCAAGACAAGGGTACCATCCGATTGTGTCCTATGTTGAAGGAACAAACCGCTTACTATCTTCTCAAGCAACTCTTGGATAAGGAATTGAAGCACTGGCCCACCGTTCACAGTATGAGCTTGCGTAATGAACTGTTCCCTCTCATCAACGATGCCTTGGTCACCATTCCTGACGTTCAACCCGGTGACTATGTGCTCTGGCATTGCGACTTGGGCCATAGCGTTGAGTATACCCACAATGGAGAAAAGGATTCTTCTGTTGCCTACATTGGCGCCTCACCCATGTGCCCAATGAACGCCGAATACCTTGTTCGTCAACACGAGACCTTCTTGAAGGGAGGAAAAGGTCCTGACTTTGTCGACCGTGACGGTGATGGTGGCCCTGAAGCTGACTTCACTGAAAGTCGCCCTGCCATCGATGACTTGAGCGATATCGGCAAGAAGATGATGGGTTTCTTGCCATATGAAGTCAACGAAGACGATGACGAGAAGACTCGTGAAGTCACCTTGAAGTGTAACAAGATTCTTGGCTTCTAAGTAGCAGCTTCAGATGAGAAGCAATTGTACAGATCTTTCACATAGCTATCGAAAACTCCATTTAAGAAAACAATATATTCTACCTTCATCCCATAATGCCTGCTTATCACGTTACTGTTCTGCTTCATCTTATTTCATACATTTCACGTTTGTACACGGAATATACATGGTATGGGCCTCACACAGGTGTCACTGATTTGGGCTGTATTCTAACATTACAAGTGGGGTATTTTATGAGAAATGTACGTGGGTATTTTTTGGCTTTTTGGCAGGTTGTGAAGGGTTGATCGATTTTTCCGATCGCTTGGATTTCTTGTTCTCGTTGTTATTCGGTGCAACATTTAGCTTCATGGGCGTGGTTGATGTGCTGCTCGCTCCCGACGAAGCATCCTGTGTAGGCGTGTGGTCTGTTTTACGAGTTTGTCGCACCTGACTGAATCTCTCCTTCTTCTTCTCTTGGGTTTGCCAATAGATCTCTTCTTCCTTGCCAGCAAGGATGCGTACCTTTAGAGGTGATAAAGCATTGATGGCATCTCTGGTTCCCTGCGCATCGTCAGCTTGCAATTGAGTAGTTGGATGGTCAGTAAAGTATGTCGTCATTTTTTGAGCGTCTGCAGCAGTGGACAGTCTGACGTTGCACTAAAAGAAAGGAATCACATTAGTCAAGCGGGCTATACCAACCACCAATGCGCGACTCAGTTGACTGCCACTGGACATTGTAGCATTACTTACTGACGGTATATCTTTTTTGAAATTAACGAACGTAGTGGTAGCACCTGACTTCTCGAATAGTTTCTGCAAGAATTGCATAAATATACATACAAAATAAAAACCTATGCATCCTATATGAAAGCTTACCTTGAGAATCGATTTGTTTGTCCTAGGTTGTATGTTATCTACATGCACAACAATACCTTGATCATAGTCAGGCTGTTGCGAATCTTGATCAGGCAGCTGCTTTTGAGATGGTGATGCTGTCTTTCTGGTTCTGGGAATGGGCGGTCGTGGTCCTCGAATATCAGCGATGAACGCGGTATGATCGGGTCTCTGTGGGGCAATAGGTTTTCTACTGGGTGCAGGTCTGCCGTTCATTTCTTCCCAAACTGCTTTGATTTGTTGTTCAAGTGCTTGCTGTTGTGCCAGATATCGTGATTTTAACTTTTCCCAATCAATTCTATAGAGCAATAGCAGTCATTTAGAAGTAGCCCACACAGTAGCGCAATCATAGGTTTCCTTACTTTGTCATGACGCGTAGTTCCAGTTTATCCGCTAATTCGCTAACATCTTGATCCGTAGTTCGTTCCTTTATCTTATGCTTTGTTTGAACCGACAACTGGGGGTCGAACCGATTGAAGAGGCGAACAGCTCTGTGTACGGATTGTGGTACGTTGAATTCAACGAAACAAAACCCAAAGAACTTTTTGGTTCCATTCCAAGCCTCGGGAAGGACCACATGATGAACAGGATCAACTTTCTCAAACAGCTCTTTGATTTTGTCGACGGTGTCGTAAGGCGCTTTGAGACCTTCAACATAGATGGACCAAGGTGTAAGGGCAGTGCGTGTTTGATCAACATTGAATGGCTTTACGCGGGTTATTTTAGTTAATGATTCATCCAGCTACAGTAGAAATGGGATTGGGGTTTAGTTGTAGGCTCGGGTAGTTGAGTTGAGGATGTGATCTGTACCTTAAGGGTGATGGTGCAGTATTTTGCTACGGCTATGGCCATTTCCTCTTCAGAGGCATCGAAGACAGCTACTGAAGGCTTTGTACGAAAAAACTCCAATGGAATGTCTATAAAGCTGAATCAGAGCTACTATATGCAAAAGGGTTCATTTCGCATTCCGGGACCTGAATTCAAAACCTACATGAATCTTCAGACATTCCAATCAAAGTTCGTAGGGTGTTGTCGTTTTCGAATGCTTCGTCAGTCATGCAGTTATTGATGCAATGTGCTAGACGGTATTCCTCGTCATCTGAAGGATTGCTCATGTTGCTCATTGGAGAACAAAGAAAAATTCGTAAAGACAAGCGCGGCAGGCACAAAATTGGAAAATTTGAGATATTTTAATTTTTACATCAAATTGGGGGACGGGGAATGAAAAGCTTTGGGAAAAATCATAGAAAGGTTTGAAGGTCATTTGACAAAAGATAAATTGTATGAAGATAGAAACAGAGAAATATGAGTATAAAAGAAAAACCTTTAGATTGGTTCATAACTCCAAATTCTAGCAAGGTTATCTCCTGATCCACTAGCAAATAGTGGTCTACCCGATGGACTAGTTGTGACAGAGATGACTATGAAGTAGAATGGGTTAGCAAAGGCCGGTGATAAAACAACCTGTATAAATGCCACATACCAGAATTCTTATGACCCTGAAGCATGAACTGGACTTGACCGGTGCGGGGATCCCAGAATTGGACACGACGGTCTTTAGACCCTGAAACAACCCAGTTGCCATCAGGAGTCGTGGCGACAGACAACACAAAGTCCTACATCAACAGTTAGTTTTGATGACATAGACCAAGTTATACAATGAATCCAGCTTACCTTGTGGCCAGTAAAGATTTGCTTGCATGGGCCCTTGCCTCTCTCATTACCGTAACCTCGGGAATCCGTGTTCAACTGCCACAATCTCAAGGTCTTGTCCAAACTACCACTAACAACGCTCTTTCCATCCGCCATGAAAGCAACAGAGTAGACACTGTCCTTGTGGCCTTCGAAGCGTTCCAACATTTGTCCTGTTTGAGTATCCCAAACACGCACCATTTTGTCCAGACTGCCTGCAGCCACGAGACGACCATCAGGAGAGATGGCGACCGATGTAACGCCAGGGTCCTTTTGATCAATGTCATTTACGCGCAAAACATGAAGGCAGACTCCTTCAGCCATATCCCAAATTCTGGCAGTACGATCTCCAGATCCAGAAACAATGATACGACCATCACGGCTGAAATCCAATGAGTAGATATCTTGTTCGTGGCCAGTCAAACAGTGGCGGATACGTCTTTTGCTAATATCCCAAATCTAAGTGATATGAGCGTGTCAGATGTGCTGTTGTGTGATGCATTTTGCAAAAATGACTGATAGTAGCTTACCCTAATCTGTTTGTCCTCAGCACCTGTGGCGATAAATTTACCATCCGGACTAAAGCATACCGAGCGAATATACAAATCATCGTTTTCTTTCCCAACATTATCATCCTGTAGCACACTGGAAAATGGTAAAATAATAATAAAAAGTTTAGTTTCCAAAGGGGTCCCTAATTTGTCCATTGTACAACTTGTAACTTACCAGACCCGTTGAGACGTAGCAACGTCATAGATATACGTTGCCCGGTTGCAACCTGCAGCAAAGTATCGGCCATCCATGCTGAATTTGACACAGCAGACAACACTAGGGTGTTCGAAATTATGAACAAGGTCAACCTTGAGGAGTCTTTGAGCCTTGGGATTGAAACTGAAGCATGGTCCATGTTAATTGACAAAAACAACGAACTGTACACGCGTATCGAGAAACTTACAGTGCAATCCAGTCGGAGCCTTCATTCTTCAGGCTAGAAGGAACACTTTCGGGATCAACATCAACCATGGGACTAGGCCCATTGGGAGTGGCATTTCCTCCAGTTGGACCACCAGACATCTTACTGGCTCCGCTGATTGGACGACCCACTGGCATCAATGGCTGCGATCCTTATTAAAATGATTTTTTTTAGCTGAAATTCCATGACAACGAATAGTGACAACTATATGTGCTTACCTTGTTGCTGAGGAGGGGGACCGTTTTGTGGAGATGGGCCATTGGGATAGGAAGAAGGTGGTTGAGGAGAGTTAGGATAGCCCATATGTTGCTGACCGCCTTGTTGCTGATTAGGATCCACCATTTGAGGAGGAGCGACGAGTCCTGGAGGACCTTGAGTATTGCCCTGGGAGTTCATAATGCCTACAAAATAGTGTTGCATTGTCAGTCAATGCTAAAGGAATAAATTACCATTATGGCTATTTCAAACCACATACCGCCAAATAGATTAGAAGCGGGCCCAATGTTGGGAGGCGCGGGTTGTGAGTGCTGTTGAGAAGGATGCGACTGTTGTGCGGGAGGAACTGATCCAGATGACAAAGGAGGGTGGCCAGCTCGAGCTTGGTCCAGTTGTTGACGAAGGCGACTAATTTCTTCTTCATATCTATTTCGTGACGATTTACGTAAATGTTGGTTAAACACCCCCCTTAAAATAAATTTTTATACGGCGGCAAGGAGGGCCGACCGCGAGAGACAAAATAAAAATACACATACTGCTTCTTCACGTTCTGTTGAGTTCGCTCTAATTCGTACAAGCTTGCTTGAAAAGCATTCATTTCTTGAATCTGGCTGTTCACTATTTAAATCAGGCGAGTCAGTATTGGGTAATGAGGTGTAATTCGCCAAATAATGTAAATGTAGTAGTGGTGTAATGCTCACTTTTGTGTTCATATTCGTCCCTCTGCGATCGACAAGCGATTGCGTCTTGTGTCAGTTGATCAAATTCGCCTTTGATGGCATCCAACAGCTCAGCAATGCGACTCGGAGCAGGAGGAACCACAGGGCGATGGTTGTACACGGACATTAGCTGCGATGGACTTTACAGATGATGGGTAAACACTGAACCTGGAAACGTTTGCCGCTGTCGGCAACATCGGAGTTTCCCCCTCCCATGGGCTGGGTTAGGGCGGAAAATGCAGTTATGTCAACATCCACTCTCGGTAAACCCCAATATCTCTATTCGATTGAATAAAACAGCCAATCACACCTTTTTCAATCATAAAAAATATTGATTTCTGATGAATGAACTCACATAATGTCCCTAAATTACATCGATGCCTTCAAACCCTGGTAATGCTATAGATCCATATCACGTGCATATTCGTCGGAGTTCAAACATCTTTCTAGACAATTTTTTTCTTGAACCTTGTCTGGAGCTGCTGCCTGATTTGGCCATCTCTTGTTATAGCTCTCACCTTGCTCGCTCACCCATGCAACACGGTACCATTCGCTCCATTAGAAGGGATCACCAGCGTCATAGCCGTCAATCTTCTAGTGTTGCAGGATTTCTTTCTCACCATGCTAGTAGAACGAATTCCGTTATGACGGAAGTGACTCCTCTGCTTGACGCTGCAGGTGAGAAGTATATCACACCGCTCCCAAGGCTGCCCATGGCCATTCTGGCATTAGCAATCTTTAGCGAGCCCGTTTCTTCCACCATTTTGTTGCCCTTTATATATTTCATGGTAAGCTCTATTTTCACTACAACCCTCGCATGTTATATTTCTTTGATCTGATTTAACGTGTTTTTATTAGGTGAGAGACTTTCATGTCACTGAGGATGAGAAGTCTATTGGATTTTATGCAGGCAAGAACGTTAACGCCACTTGTGTTGGAATGGATAAATGTAAAACCTTTTTTTTTCTAACCAACGGAAATAGGAACCATTGCATCTGCGTACTTCCTTGCTCAGTTCCTTACTTCAATTCCATGGGGTTCATTGTCTGATCGCTATGGGCGACGCCCAGTTTTGTTGATTGGACTTATCGGAAATACAATCACTATGATCATGTTTGGCCTATCACCAAATCTGGCCATGGCCGTCCTTTCTCGTTGCTTATGCGGAGCTTTGAATGGCAACGTTGGTGTCTCCAAAAGTGTTCTTGGAGAAATCACGGATTCAACAAACCAACCCATGGCTTTTGCTATGTTTGGCTTCTGCTGGGGTGTTGGTGGTATAGGTAATGTGATGTGTCTTATTGATATATGTGATTCAGCACTCCTACAGCAACCCCTAATATTTTGCATCATTATTACTCCCCGACAGCCGGGCCTGTCCTAGGTGGATTGCTCGCTAACCCAGCAACTCAATTCCCTGACATCTTTGGCGGTATTCCTCTGCTCGTCAAATTCCCATATTTCTTGCCATGTTTCATTTCAGCCGTTATCTCGGTCGTTGGCTTGTTCATGACGTTTTTCTACTTTGAAGAGACCAATCCTAACCTTCGAGATGACTATTCTCGACCTCCTTCCATTACTGAGTCCTTGCTGTCTATCGTGGACCCTAAGCTTACACAAACTTTGTCTAACATGTTTGGAAGCTACGACGCTTTTCCTCGCCGCTTTTCCATCGCTGGAAACGACCAGATTGCCGGTGTGGAGATTCAGCCTCAAGAATCGTTTTACAAACAAATCATGGAGGAGTATGGTAACAATGTAGCAACCAATTCTAACTCTATGGCCGAACTTGTTTCTGGCTACGGAATGGTACAACCTGTCATGGATCTACCCGAAATGGTGCGAACAGTCACGCAGTCGACTATGGCAGGAAGCAACTACCCACAAGAAGTCGAGTATCATGCAAATTATGGCGAGATTAATCCCAACAACATGGATGATGCCATGCGTTATTGTGTCATGACTGAAACGGAACAAGAAACGATTTTCAGCAAGGCAGTTCCTGAAAGCGAAGTGGCAGGTCTTGTAGAAGGGCAGCAGTCGTTGGTGAATGAATGGAGAGATGATGCCGAAGGCGGTACGAACGATGAAGTTCGAACCGTGGTATTGATGTTTCCCGAGGCTATGGGGGCTCCTGAAGAAGGAAAGAAAGGATGGGGTCTGGGCCTAGGCGTTAGCAAGCTGTCCGTAGATGTAATCATATCCTACACGTAAGTTGGTACTATGCGATGTATCTGCAGGTCTTATGGTCAATAATTGAAACCCCTGCATGCATGCCAGTTTGCTAGCTTTCCATGCCATGATATTTGATGAACTGTTCAGGTAGGCCTCGTTCGACTTGTAGTGATCCATGCATGCATGCATGCACTGATTTTCTGACATACTAATTTCCCTTCGCTAGTCTTTTCGCTGTCGCTTTACCTGCCATTGGCGGCTTGGGCTGGACATCGCCCGACCTGGCTATCTCCTTGGCTATTATGGGTGTCGTCCAACTATTTGCTCAATTCGTCCTATACCCCATGGTTAATGCCCGCATATCCACAATGGCTTTGTATCGTATGAGTCTGGTCTTGTACATTCCCTTGTATATGTCTTGTCCAGTCATCAGTCATTATGGCGACGTATGGGGCGAGGAGGGAGCCAGACTTGTGTGGTACTTGATGCTTCTCAATTTGACCGTTCGATTTACGCTTTCGACCTTCAGCTACACTGCCGTCATGCTTATGGTAAAGTCGAATCTGAATTTTTGAGAACACCCTCGCACACATAGAAAGCTGATCACTTTATTACTCACTCCTCAGGTCAATAATTCGGCTCCGGTAGATCAATTGGGAACCGTCAATGGTGTCGGCCAGACAAGTGTCAGCTTTGTTCGAGCCATTGGCCCTGCATTGGGCGGATCGTTGTGGAGTTTCTCACTTACCAGTGGCTTTGGCTTCCCGTTCAACTACTATTTTGTTTTTATTTTCATGAGCTTCCTCAGCTTGCTCAACTATTTGTCAACTCTAGTTCTTCCTACCTGGGTCGGAGAAGCACGCGAAGGCGCCGCTGTCATGCATATGGGCTAAAAACAGTCAGCTCAAACATGCGCCTTGTATATAATGTATACTTGGGATGACTATTTTGCAGTCATCCTGGTTGCCTTGTTTTTTATCATAAAAGAAATCATTTTGCATATACTCACGAGTATTTATAAATTATATATCATTTTCCGTCTTTATTTTTACATAATAACAAAACAGGAGTTGTCAAGGGTATCGATAGTGCATTTTCAATGTGGAACAATTTTGCCAAGGCAAACAAAGTTCTTTGCTCGATGGACTGAGGGGAATACTGAGCGAATTTTTTGAGTGGATGGGGTGGGGTATGGAGGAGCTTCATAAATATAAAAAGATTCAGCTTTCTGGTTTCTAACAAACAGCATATCCCATTGCGACGCGATATGCTGCTTCTTCTTGATGCGTGACTCGAGTCATGCAAGAGTTGACTCGAATCCTGAAGGGACGAGAAGGACTGGGTAACTTCGATGGTTTGGAGCGAAAAACATCATCCAAGTCAATTGTGGTGAATTTTCCAAATATCTCATCTGGGTCTACTTTGCTCTGTTCTTCTAAGGCTGTTTCCAAATTGGACGAGCGAGCCCATTCGGGTTCGTTGGAAGATGCGGCTTCTTGTGTGACAGAACCGGAATCAGCCGAACTTCTAATAAACGAAATGGTTAATAACTGTAGGACAAGATGAAACTATGTTTCGTTACACTTGTGCTTTTTATGCAATCTTTACCTTGTTGTTTTACGGTGAACTACCGGGGCACTATTGAGAGCGATGGCCGCAGCGGTCAGAGACATTGGCTGAGAGCGTTTCTGCCGAATCTGACTAACTCCCAAATGTTTGGCGCCTTGGCTCTTCTGAGAAGCCGTTGTTTTGGTAGACGTTCTCAATGCTGTTCTGCTGCTTGAGTTGACAGACTAAAAAAGAAATAAGAGACAGGTATTGGTCACTTTGATTTTTGATTTAGTGTTCATCCATCGTGATGTCAAACTTACCTTTGAACCATCGGCAGGTTTATCAAATGTCCGTTTAGGTTGGGCTAATCGATTAATGCGCTCCATAGACAAGGCTTGGGAGGTGCGTTTCTCCGATGGAGGTAACCCTTTGGAGAGGGATGGCTTTCCTTGCTTGGCATCCGCTTTCTCTGCCATCTGGAGAAATCGGCTCTTAAGGGGTACAGCCGAAACATCGATTTCATATTTTGCCAGGGTGGTCAAACGGGCATGTGGAAGAGACGATTTCATCGATTCGTGCACATGATCCACTGTGTGTTTCTTTGGCAATTTGGACCCATCTATCTTCTTGGACTACAATGATTAGAGATCCATCAAGTAAAGCCAGATACATGTTTGTTATACACTTACTTGGGAAGTTTTGGAGACTTGTTTCATGTCTGAGCTGTTGGTGAAAAGCGTGATTTTTTTGGCTTCGACGTTTTCAACATCGGCTTGCTGCAATAATTTGTGCTTTGCGGGGAGAGCTTTGCTATAAGTTGGTGGTGGTGGCCGTGCACCTTTAGCAACAGACCAGTTGGATGCTGACAGCTTTTCTTCAAAATATTCTCGGAAAGGATCGTCGCTAGGTTGAAGATTTTGAGTATGTTTTGTGTCGCACGGGCTTTCTTCTGTAGGAGTGATCGACCCAGTAGCCGGTGGAATAGGCGATGGTGGTTTACTTAAAGGCGGTGACGGTAAGCCTGTATCATTTTGTTGCGATTTCATCGGTGAGCTCATGATATCCTCAAGTTGATAGTCAGGAAAGAAATCTTTGATGAAGTCAGCCAGCCGGCTAGGGTCTTCGATAATGTCGCCACTAGATAAGGCTTTGGCACTTGTAGTCTTTGACGTTTCTTTACAGGAGACTTGAATGTTCTCCATAATCGTAGCATCCTGCTCGTTGTTTGTTTGGTCTTCTTCAAGGCTAGAATGGGGGACTTTTTGGTCCCAACTGGCTGTAGTGGCCATTTTCAGGAACAGCTGGTCTTCAAACATGCTAGCGGGAGTTGCGGATGCTGTAGTGTTGCTAGTGGTGTATATACTATGTCTGTTGCAGCGTACGGATTGTTGGAGAGTATCAATAAAAGTTTAAAAAGCGAAGCAACATCACCAAAAGAAAAAAAATAACAAACGTACCGATGTTCCAAATTTTCCAAGTCGGACAACCAGTCCAGATGTGAAGAAAAGTTATCTTCAACAGCATCCAGCTCACATTTTGCATGAGCTGTAGCAGTTGAATGAACAAACGTTACCCAGAATTTCGACATCAAAAAAAAAGGAAAAAAGAGTTGAAGAAAGGGAAAAGAGGTAAAGGAAGTTTGGTCACAGTCCGGTAAGCGCTTCACTGTCTCCAGTTTCACCCACCACACTCCGAAAAGGCAAGGGCATGCCCGAAATAGGTAGTGCCTTGGCTGTTCAAAACATCGGACCACTTGACTACGAGTAACGAATAGGCATGCTAACACTTAGATCCTAGTTTGAGAACATAACAGCCAATCATGGCAATCCAGTATATCGATCTAGTCAACATAATAAACAGAAAATCCATTGCATTATCCTGCCGGAAGCGATTTGTGAATCTACATATTTATCATATTCTAACCTGTAGACATGAGTTCGCCGTCCGGCTCCCGAAAAATGTTGCTACGAAAATGGTGAGAGGTTATGATTATGAAGCTTTCAAGGCATTTTGAGGCATTGACTTTTCACATGCAACACCACAACAACACAGAAAGCTGGCAAATTGCGATGGGGTTTTGAAACAACACATGTAAACTTTGAGTAACTATTGCAAGTGATGAAGTAGCCCTTTAAAATATTCCACAAATTGTATATCGTAATGTGGTGTTGCTGAAGTATGACTAATAAACCAGTACCTCATCTCAAACTTTCTTCACGTACCTCTCACAATCGATAGCAAGGCACTTCTTGTACCGTCTGAAGCTAAAAATGGTGACCCTGGTGGTACACACACACAGCATTTCATATACTTACACTTCCATTTGATTGGTCGCTTGGTTCTATGAGAAGAAGGTGAAGTATATTTGTTCTGAGGGTAACTACGACATCGCAAAGTCACCATGTTAGGCAACACTGAACTCAGATGGGGAGGGTTCGACTATTGGTTGCCAAGGAGACGCGAGGGTTAGGTGAAATTTGTATTTTAAATCAATTTCCCGTCCACTGCGCGACGTACTAGCAAAGTCATGCTCCTGAAACGTCGACCCAATGGGCTACAGCAATCCAAAAGCTCATTACCTCTCAAACGCAAACGAATCGTCGTTGATAATGTAAGCGACGATAGCAGTAGTGACACTGCCTACGAGGATGACCAAGATTTCGATGGCGAAGACTATGATTCCGACGGTTACCCGATTCCAAAGAAGAAGGATAAACGAGAAGTGGCCAAACGAGCTGCGTTAGCAGAGCTCGCTACCCATAACAACAGAGAACTTCCTCCACCATTACCAAAAGACTATAATCCATTGAAAGTTCTAAAGTCCAAGTTCAAAGTCCCTTTCAAAGTCGACGCGGTTGACACCACACAGTCGTTAGTACCAACCACGCGAACGCTAGGAGTGCGAAGGCGATTACATATTGCGGCCAGAGCTTTACATGACTGGACAGCGGATGGATCCATCATTCTTTATGATCCAGAAAAGGACGATCCTAAAAGTGAGAACAGCACACCAGAAGAGGAACCGCCTCAAGAGACGCCGAAGACGATACATCATTCGAAAGCTGGAAAGTCACTTGCAGAGTTGCTAGGTACAAAGAAATTAGAGCATAAACGAGGTCATGTTGTAGTTGACCCAGTACTTGCGAAAGTACTGAGACCACATCAAATTGACGGCGTAAAGTTCTTGTACCGCTGCACAACCGGAAAGATCCATCCAAACGCCTATGGGTAAGAGGAAAACAACTATATTATGTGATAGTATATCGATATTCCCTAATACTGGTATTACTTCAGGTGCATTATGGCAGACGAGATGGGTTTAGGAAAGACTGTAAGTATAATCTCCTTTTTTTTCCTCCCACGATAGCAGAAGCCATATCATGTTTTAACCTTCGTTGGACTATAGCTTCAATGCATTGCTCTTATGTGGACACTATTACGACAATCAGGTGATATTGGAAAGCCAACGATTGAAAAAGCCATTATTGTTTGTCCCTCGAGTCTGGTGCGTAACTGGGCAAATGAACTGGGTAGGTAATTTGAAGATGCTGAGATTTTTATGTATGGTATGCTAAATTGTACCTTCATAAATAGTCAAATGGCTGGGCCCTAATCGTATTCGGCCACTAGCCATTGACGGCAAAGGCACAAAGGAGAAGGTCACTGCTGACATGAAGCAATGGGGTTCTGCACAAGGACGAATGGTGGTCAATCCAGGTGAGACATCCGTCGATCGTATGTATGGTGGGATATACAATTGTAGACTGATGATATACCATTACATATAGTTCTCATCATCTCGTACGAGACCCTCAGGTCATACTGTCCGGTTCTTAAAAACTGCCAGATTGGTCTATTGCTCTGTGACGAAGGCCATCGATTGAAAAACGGAAGTATGTAATGACTTTCAGAGGTCACGCTATATTCAAAAGAGCCTACAAGATTAATCATACACACCAATACGTTTATAGATTCATTAACTTTTCAGGGTCTCAACTCGCTACAAGTACAGCGAAGAGTGATCTTATCTGGAACGCCCATTCAAAACGACTTAAGCGAGTATTTTTCGTTACTGAACTTTGCCAATCCAGGCTTGCTAGGAACGCCGAACGAGTTCCGTAAAAACTATGAAATCCCAATCTTAAGAGGAAGAGATGCAGATGCTACTCAAAAAGATCACGAAACTAGTGACCAAAAGCTGAGCGAGCTATGGGGCATTGTCTCCAAATTCATCATCCGACGCACGAACGACATTCTATCCAAATACTGTCAGTACACTGTGTCTTTGCTATGACTTCATCATATACATATGTACTTACCATTATTTAAACAGTGCCGGTCAAATTTGAACATGTCGTATTTTGCAAACTCTCACCACTGCAGCTTGACCTCTATAATGTATTTATTACGTCAAAGGCCATGCAAAAGCTTTTACGCGGACAAGGCAGCCAACCGCTCAAGGTAAGAGCCCATATAGTGAATGCGAATAGAAGGAGAGGCAAAAGATGTTGAACACAGACTATTCCTGTAGGCCATCACAATGTTGAAGAAGCTAGTCAACCATCCAGATCTCTTAAACTTGCCAGAAGAAATAAGAGGTAGCGAGGATGTACTGCCAGATAGTTACCAGACTCAGGGACGACATCGTATCATATCACCGGAATTCTCAGGAAAGATGATGGTCTTGGATAGGTAGGTTACATAGCGTTCATAGTGAAGTTGACGATGGATTTTCTCATCCAATATTTGCTCTCACTAGGATGCTAGGGAAAATCAACAAGGAGACGGATGATAAAATTGTCATCATCAGTAATTATACACAGTCTCTTGATCTGATTGAAAAATACTGCAGGCAACGAAAGTGAGTATATGCCATAAATGCATAGCTGTTATATCAGCGCTAACGCTCCCCATCAGCTACGGTTCCTTGCGACTTGACGGATCCATGACTATCAACAAACGACAAAAACTGGTGGACAGATTTAACAATCCAGAGGGAACGGAATTCGTGTTCCTGTTAAGTAGCAAGGCAGGAGGCTGTGGACTAAACTTGATTGGTGCCAACAGACTTGTTCTTTTTGACCCAGGTAAGTGAGAAACTAAACTGAACTGGCTATGTAATCTCATCAGTGTCTGACCGTGTTGTTTATCTCATAGACTGGAATCCGGCAGCAGATCAGCAGGCACTAGCTCGTGTGTGGCGAGACGGTCAAAAGAAAGATTGTAGGTCATCAATATATCTTCCGTGCATATTTGGTAGATCATTTCCTTACAGATGAGCGTATTTGTTTTAGGTTTTATCTACCGATTGATCGCTACTGGCACTATTGAGGAAAAGATATTCCAGCGACAATCACATAAGCAATCTTTATCAAGCTGCGTCGTCGATGAGGCAGCGGACACTGAAAGGCACTTCTCACTAGCGGATCTCCGTCAGCTCTTCATGTACAATGGCGACACAAGCTGTGATACGCACGATACCTTCAAGTGTAAGTATTCATCCAACACCGACAGGTATTGACTTGTGAGACTTATGAAAGGATTACTAACACTCCTACTTAGGTAAGCGATGCTTAGAAGGCAAGTCGGTCCAAGACGTAGAGAGCATGCAATACGGAGACACGAGCTCGTAAGTTGTGTGCATATATGGCGTGGTGACTGTCACAACAAGGGAGTTAACTAATTTACTTCTTATAGCTGGGATCATTATGACGAGAAACTCCATGAACTTCCTGACCCAATCCTGCAAGAAGAGGCGGGTAAAGGCATCGTATCGTTCGTGTTTCAATACATTTCGCATTTGCGCTAATTGAGTACGAACAAAAGCGTATAGAATTAGAATATAGAACATCCACGCATCCATTCACCTGCATATCGAAGATAAATATACCACATTCAAAAAAATTTATATAATCTAATATGAGCTATCGCATATAACCGGGCATGTGGAGGCAGTAATGGTACAATGCCACGTACATCCTTTGCTTGACGTAATAAGCTCTTAATAATATACCTTGACAAGTAAAGCATTCAGACACGCAAAAGAATCAAACTGCGACGAAACGCTACCCCACACATGTGGATGCCATCAGGAACTCTATGATGTGGATCGGTATGAACGCCCGCGTAAAGAAAAAGAGATATTTTATTATTTCTGTATTGATGTAGTCTAGCATGTTTCATTTCAGGAATAAAGTAGATTATTCAAGCGTGGAGATACACCGCCTTCAAATTTTAAGGCGCATAGGTAATTGCATTGGAAGTCTAGTTAGCCTAAATTTTTGGCATTGAACACGGGCTTGCTCAAGTATATGATAATCTCTATTATAGTCATCATGCCTTACCGCTCATGCTGATACCTCGAATCAAAGGTCGTCTGTCGTAGGGAGGACCTTGCCAAACTATCGGAGTGCATACATTAACTTGGGTCAGTAGTGGGGTACCAATCTCAATTCCCTTTTTAGAAAGCAGCGTTTGGTCAGCTTTGGTTGCCTGTTAAGGTGAAAAAGCGATCGGTCACCAGAATATCGTTAGAATCAACGTCTTTCCCCCAACTTCTTCTTCCTTGTCTTCTTCAAGTATCAACGCTTTTCAACTAGAAAATGGACCAACAGCTTGCGTTTATATGATTCAAGTTTCACCCTCTATAATTTAGAGTAAATAACATGCTAAAAGTTGACGCAACGTGGTTATATCAACGTACGAAAACATGCAGCTGGAAGTCATCTTTTTCCATTTCACATGCCTGGTTGGCGATACTGTGACTTCTCCCTACAATAAAATCAGGCCCTTATAAATGCCAGAGCGTGCTCTTCCAGCATTAGCTTTTGTATATTTTTCTATCTGCTTTGACCAAGATGTCTCTTACATTTGACAAAGTTAAAAACCGTTTCTTAGCTTCATCGCCTACTGCCCAGTATGCCATGACCATAGGTAGTGCTGGTGCAGCTGCCTTGGCTGTCTTAGCCATCATCTACCCAGACAGAGCCCTCTTTGACGACAAGAGAGATGATATCCCACAGCGTCCTGGTTTTCCCATCGTCGGCAGTCTTCCCCATTTGCTAAGCAATATGACACAATTCCACCACTTTGCTCTCCAAGGTTTTGAGAATGTCGGTACAACAACGTAAGTGATCTGACAGACAAGTTTTAATGGGTGCCGATGCCATGACTAACTCACCCGCCGTTATAGAACCATGTCCAATCTCGGCATTCCCAGAAATATCGCTACTTCTGACCCACGCTGTGTCGAACATATTTTGAAAAGTAGGTACAACATTTGAATGACTGGTGGCGTTTACTTTCATATGAAGAAGAAAATTCGACTGATCATTTGCCTCGACTAGCCAATTTTTTGAACTATGAAAAAGGTCCTCAATTCAGAGATGGTATGGACGCCTTGTTCGGACATGGCATCTTCAACGCAAATGGCGACGAATGGAAGTTCCAGCGCAAAACAGCTTCGCAAATTTTCAATGTGAAGAACTTTCGCGACCACTTTACTGAGTATGCATTATTATTGATAACCAAGCGGCTGGCAATATTGCACCGAGATTAACTCTAGCCATTGCCTTTCATAGTGTTTTCGTCGACGAACTCCAGTACATGACCAGTGTCATTTTGGATCCTCTGGTTGAAAATGGCCAGGCCGTTGATTTCCACGACCTCATGTTCAAGTTCACCTTGGATTCCTTTGTCATGTACGCTTCCCTTTTTATCTAAAATATCAAGAACCCTCGAATTTTGTACTAACCTACGTTTATATTCAATTTCTTCAGTATCGGTTTTGGCGAAGATCTCGGTGCCTTACGTACTGAAGGCAAGGTTCCATTTGCGGCAGCATTCGATGCCGCTCAAGTCAATACCGCCAAAAGAATGCTAGTCCCTTACTGGCGTGCTAGAGAAGGTATTGCTAAGGTTTTAATGCCTTGGAAGTCCAGCATGGATGATCACATTAAGGTGGTGAATAGTTACGCTGCTGATATGATCAGCAAACGCCGTAAAGACGTCGAAGAGGGGCAAGATCACAACGATTTACTTAGTCGGTTCCTGAAGTCAAAGGACGACCAAGGCAATCTTCTCAATGACCAGCAGCTTCGCGACATCATTCTTAACTTTATCATTGCGGGTAGAGATACCACAGCTCAAGCACTTTCTTGGGCCATGTATCAATTGATGCTGAATCCAGAAGTCGAGGAAAAGCTGGCTAAGGAAGTTTTTGCCAACATCTCTGATGACGACGAAAAGAATTCTCCTGCTCTTTACGAGATTATCAAGGACATGAAATATGCCCATGCTGTGTAAGTCAATTACCATGACCCTTTTATGTAACAGCGTCACACCGTTGCTGACACCAATGCTTATTTAGGTTCTACGAAACTTTGCGTCTGCATCCTTCGGTGCCTGCCAACCAAAAATACGCCCTTGAAGACGATATCTGGCCTGATGGCACTGTGATCAAGAAGGGTGATTACGTGGTTTGGTCGCCATGGGCTCAAGGTCGTCTTGAATCTGTATGGGGACCAGATGCCAAGGAATTCAAGCCAGAACGCTGGTTCAATGAAGATGGTGACCTTCGCCGTGAAAATCAAGGTGTCTGGCCCGCCTTCCACGCTGGACCTCGTGTCTGTCTGGGCCAAAATCTTGCAACGTTGGAAGCTCTGGTAGCTCTTACTCTGTTGGTCAAGAAGTACCGCTTCAATTTGGCACCTGGACAGGACGTCACCTATCAACTGTCGTTGACCTTGCCCATGAAAGACGGTATGAAGGTCTATGTTCAGCAGCGTGAAAAACCAGAGATTGCTGCTTAGATCCTTCTCTGTTATGACATATGTAGCCCATCACTTGTACAGTACATTTAAATATACTCAATTAAATATCGCTTTTAAAAATTTTATTTCCTTGGACAGGGATAGTAATTTGAATATCCCCCACCCCTTCTAGCTTTCACTGTTCCAAAAAATGAGCCCCAAGCCGATCCGGCGAAGACTCAAAGATGCCTTCGTACGACCCATGCCGACCGATGTATGCAGCTTCGGTGAGTAAATTAAGGACTGCTCACGTGACTTGAATTTGCTCACAAAAAGGGCCAGCAATAAAAGTGAAACCATCTAACGTTATGATGTAGAGTGATGATGCTGATCAAAAGATTATTTTGTTATGTGTTAATAACAGTGTTGGCAAGCTGGACTTTGCTGTTTTTATGGTGGAATTTCAGCGGATCGCCTACCCCACATTCTGAATGGACTTGCGAAGGTGAAGGTAGAAACCAAATGTGCGAATTCTCGAACTTCTGTGTGAGCCGCTACCATGGGCCCTTCATTGTGAGCGAGAACGAGCCGCCCAGCATCAACCTGATCAACACAGGCCAGGGCGAAGACATGTGGTTCAAGCCAAAAAGACTTGCGCGCCACACAGGCGCTCGATTTATCAATGAAACCATCTTTGTCTATGGCTTCTACAGCCCATTCCATTTCTCGCATTATTTATACAACGGGTTGATGCCGCTATACAGCACCATGATGGAAAAAGGCGCCACGGCATCGTCTTGGACATTCCGAGGCGCAACGTATTGGAACAAGCACACCAAGTTGGACATGGACATCCCAAGCGGCAGCGATATAGTGCCTGATGATGAAGACGTGCTAACGGAAAAGCAATTATCACCACCATATAAACCCATCTGCTTTGCGAAAGCAGTTGTGGGAACCGGCGACCGATGCTCGCTATGGTACTGCGACAGGCAAATCCCGGCAGCACACTACGAATCATTTAAATCTCACATTTTTAGCCAGCCATACACTGATGCCCAATGTCCATCCGTCACCTATAAAAGCGATGGCAGCACTCGCATTGGCATTTTAAATAGAGGCAAGTCACGGCACATAACAAACATTCCAGAACTTATAGACAAGTTAAAAGCATTAGACGTATCGATAAAAACCATCGACTTCGACTCTGGCTGCGATCTCAAAAACACTGCACATCTGGTCAAAGACCTAGATGTGCTTATCGCGCCGTTCGGAAATGCACTAGGAGCAGGGCTGTTTATGAAAAACAATTCAGTTGTAATATCGATCGCATCGAGATGGTACAACGAAGATTGGTTTAAATGGCCCATGACCGCTATTGGCAGGCGCATATACAATTTCGAATGCAATGACGCAGCGTGCCAGGAATACGACAGAAAGTTGCTAGAAAAGCTCTTGGCGGACCACGACGCCGTGCTGAATGAGGGAGAGATGCAACAGCTGCTAACACAACAAAACCCTGTAGACGTATTATCCAAGTATATTCCCGGCAAAGAATGGGAGATAATAGAGCAATATCACAAAGACGTGTCTAGACGGATCAATGTTGATGCGTTCATTCCGTTTTTAAACGATATACTAAAAGTCGACGCACGCAACATTAGTTATGTCGAATTGTGCCATAGTCAACACTGTTGCGACAATGATTGTGCCGGCCCATTAGAAAGGAACGTGTTCGGGACGCATAGTGCATGGCTCTCGAAATGAATTACTTTAATATACTGTTTATTAACAATTATTTTGCGCCAATACAAAAATAAATTTAAGATCACAATATCAGAGCACAGAGCCTGAAAATTTATTCTCGAAATCATTAGTAACTTAAGCATGGCAAGATAAACAGATTCAAACAGATATACTCACAGACAAGATAGTGGAGATATAGGTGGTTTTGAAAGGCAATCGTCAGAAAATGAATGAAATGCAAAACATAAAAAACTACACTTACCCTCCCCCGAAGG